TATGCCAACAATGCCAGCTCATGCTAATCCCATGCCCTCTGTCACTGCTGTTTGCCCTTACACCTGCCAAATCATTGAGTACCTAACATGGGTAGACAGGACCCATGCACAGATGAGATAAAAAATTACAGACTTAACAATACTGAAGAAAACACACTCATTCACAAATAAATTATAATGTTTACAATCCTTCAACTGCATGATGTCTCATAACAATAAGCATTTAATTCAATAATCCTGGACAGTAAGGAGCATTGGAATGCATAGTTGCATTTTATAGAGCCTATGACCACTGTAGCAATCTATCAAACTGTGAAATGGAAAATTAATTATGCTGCACTAATGGAAGTTGTTGGACTTATTTCAAAAGTTTGAGTTAAATAGCAAGCAATGATTTTTTAATGCTCTACATTTTTCAAAGTTTTAAGGTCTTGACATTTTATTAGATACTTTTGATAGTTCCTTTTGACTGTTCATCTTGACACATTTTTTGACAGTTCATTTGCACAGGCCACCGAACATCCCCCAAAAGCACACTTGACCTTCCCTGAAGATGCTCTGTAATCATGTCCAAGTGGGCAACTGACCTCTCCAAAAGAACGTTATGACTATCCGAATGTATCCAAGACGTTCAGTCCTACTCTTACCAGATCTAGCCTGTGGACTTTGTGTTTAGGTACCCAAGTCACTAAAATCACACAGAAGTGGAGACAGCCTGTCTCTGTGAAATGTGCATTTGTGAAACTCAATCTATCCAATTCCTGCATCCCAAAAAAATGATAATTGACATGTGATGAGGCAAGACTTCAGGTTTTCAAGCATGTCCAACATAAGAATTCAGACTAAAGATGAATAGCATAAAACATTTTCACGACATTAGTGACTTCTACTTGATTTCAGTCTGGGGGCAATGGAACAATACTGTTGCAAATAGCTATTTCTTGACTTCTATATTTTAGAACATAAGTTTAGTTTTAGGAATTAAAGTTTCAAAGTAGAAAATGGGTAAATGCAATTAAAAGAAGCTTGGAGTCTATTACACTTAAAAAATTGACAACATGTTCACTTTAAGTGGTTGACAGATGGAAATGGTAAGATCATAAAAAAGCCAGTAGAGAATTCTACTAGATGATCTACCTGTGATCCTTTTGGTGACAAAGAGGTGGCTGAAATCCTTGCAGTACGGGGAGTCCAAAGGGCTATTTTTGTTTGGAAGTTACAGCTAAGTTAGTTTAAAAGCATTCAGGAAAACCTCACATATGGAAAATTCCATCTCCTTCCATCATATTAAAGAAGAAATTGTAATTGAGGAATAATTAACTTGAAGTTGATTGAGAACATTCCAGAGCATGCCACCTCATTATGGCATTGGATGGAGCTTAGGGAGATTCTCTGGTTGCAATTTATCTGTGCATTTGCTGAGAGGATTAATTGCAGATTGGACCTGTGTGGTCTGCAGTTCACTAAGAGGTAGACAAAGTAAATAACAGTTAGCTAAGCCTGCACTGCGGGCAAACCCTAAAACTAACTTCATTTCCAATGAGGGAAGTGGATAAAGCTTAGTCTTGATTTGAAATTTATGGGGAAACAAAAACAGGAAGAGTTCATAATTTGAATGCAGTGAAAGAACGAACATGGTCCACGGAGAGTCTTCTGGCAATATAAAACAATCAGTAGTATTAGCTAAGAAATATTTAAAAAGTAACCAGAACAGTGGATTGAAGCATCCACGGTTAATAATTAGTAATAAAGCTCTTGCCTCTGAGATTAGCTGGAACTCTGGAGAACTTAAAGTTCCAAGGAACTGTGAAATAGTTTTGAGTGTTCCCAGCGTAAGTACATAATTCAAGATATCATAAAGTAAAGAGAATTCTTGGGGAAGTAAGAGGTAAAACAAAGTATAACACATGTATTTATAAGCCAGATTGGTAAATTAATCATTTTTTTTTTATCAGTGTTTTTGTTGAAGAATATGAAATCTTGTGGCATAATTCTATTGGTTAAAATGTGATGTCTGCAATTATCTTTAAATGTTAACAGTTCCTAACAGTTAAGTAACTGTGCACACTATCAAACAGCATAAAATCACTGACAGCAACTTCTGGATATCTATTTTTAACTGGACAACTAGCAGATTCCAAAGCAGCTGCTAGTTTGAGAGGGGTAATGAAAAGCAATCACTGACAGTTTTGCTATCATAACCACTTAAAAATTTGGGCCGTTCTTAATTTGCATGAACCTCTACTTCATAATTTGTCACTGCTGTAATTGTTTTAGTATGGGTTTGTCTGTTCAGATAAGCTCAGGCCAGTCCCTAGGGCATTTGTTCAAAGAGTCCTTGTTTACATTATGAATAGGTGATACATCAGGCATCTGTGCCCCAAGCTGATAAATCACAAAGCTTCACACCCGGTCCTATTGAGGTCATGGTTGGATCAGAGCATGCCTCAGAGGTTTATCTTCATACTCATTAGCAATAACTTCCCCTTTAATGTTAACTTTAAAGAATTACAGTTGAAGTTCACCCTTGAGATAAACCAATAATCGCATTGCTTCACTTGAAAATGTCATTCATTTATTTTGAATAAAAAATTATCTCTAATGTGTTTGATCACGAACCTTTCCTACATCAACTCATTTCCTAATCGCATATTTAAGGCACTGCAAACAATGTTAAAACATAACAGGTGTGAGTTTGCGTATTTTATGATATTTAACTTGCAGTAGCATCACACAGTACTTTGAAATACACACTTTGGGTTACTTAAAATGCTTGAGTATCTTTAAAACACAGTTGGAAATCAGATTTGTAATGTCATTGAACAAACTGCTTGAGTCATCAATGTGCAAGTTACATTTTCTGGTTTCTTCTTCATTTCATAATGCTTACTGAATTGATATCATTTTTTTCAATTTAAGAAATTAGCAAACAGTTTTCAATGAAGAAAAGTGATGTAGGAATTATAGAGAATGCAGGGTAGGTGCCTATACATCATATTTTCCTTAATCCGTAGAAACTAGAAACATCTCATTTAAATAGGTTCCAGGATTTACATGAATTTACTTGGCATCCTCAGATATTACATTATTAACAAGAGATTTACTGACATTTTTACAGAACCTTCTACCAGATTGAAGACCTATCAAATTCTATACATTACAAGAAGTAAAAAATTCTAACTGAACTAGAATGAGATCAAATAAAGTAGACAGAATCATTTTCCTTTAGTTGTCAATATAACAATGGACAATCTATTTGTTACCATTGGAAAGTAACTGTTAGATCGAAAGGTGAAATTTCCATTTCCTAAATCTGTATCAAGTTACCAACATATTCATAAAACAGAAGCATAAGAGTAATTCACAATTAGTTAAAGGTTTTTGATATGATCCCAAAGTGAAGATCAGGCAGTTTATTGGGATTATGATAAAAAACAATTTAAATATGTTCTTAATTATTTGGTGATGTAGTGATTCTCACTTGTTGTTCCCTTATCAATTATACATTATAAAAAATGTTACTTTAATTCCTAACAAACAGTTTAAAATGATTTTTTTAGCCAGTGAAATGATAATGATCTGAAAGTTGATGGAACTGTTAACCTTTGGTGAGTTTTGAGTTCGAAATTAAAGGAGCTCATTGTAACTGTAAGCATTCAGTGAAGTTGAATTAGCACTTACAGATATACAAGTCTAAGTCACGGCAACAGCAAATGCTTAAGAATCATTGATGCTGGTGTAGGTGAATACATAGAGTTGTGAGATAAATCACATCATATTCCATAAACTATATCTTCTTTTAAGTCATCTTTTATGAAAAAGTGGTGTTACAAAATGATCCTCGATTGTGTGTTGTATGTTTAGGTAAAAAAGTGTTGATGAAGATACTGCACTTCAAATTTGGTCTTAGCTTGTTCCAATTTTATTTCCACCACTGCTCGTTTAAAGTTTTGTTTTGGACAAATTTAAATATTTTCATTCTTCAATGAAGTTCTTGATTGAGGTGTTCATCTGTCTTCAAGTACCATAAAAAAATTTATATCACCGGTTAATTATGACTAATGCTGCCCACTGAGCTTATGTTGGTTGATCCATTCAGAATTAACCCCTCCTGTCTCACCATTCCCATTGCAGGATTCAATTGGCCTGCCTCCACTATTCATTCTAGGAGTTAAATCAATGTGCTTACCATTCTTTGTGTGACAAAGAATTTCCTGGTATTAGTTCTAAAATTTAACTAGATTGAACTTGTGTTTCCTTGCCTTATTCCAACAGTTCAATTTGATTTATTTTTTCTATACTGTCCACAGGGTTAGATTGGGTGAGTAATTCATTCTGAAACACATGTCATTAATGTGAAGAAGATACAATATCAGGCCTTTAAAGAAGGAAATATGAAGGACGTAAAAGGGAAAAAAAATGGTTAAGTAGATTAGAGTAAGTTGCAATAGGAAGTAAATGTAGCCTTCAGATAACAAAGAGAAGCAAACTAGCCCCAAGCATGATTTCTTATCTACAGCTCTTTGGAAAAAATAAAACCATTAAAGTATAAACTATTTTCTTATTGAGCTCCTGAGCAGTGTGTTGACATGACATTGTGATGGTTAATTTTCAGCATGTGGGAGAAGATGGGTGAAGACCCTGTCAATTGCAGTTCTTTAAAGTGGTTGTGTTCAAGAGTCTGTTACTGAGTTACTTTTAGATCCCTGTGTGACTCATTTGTTTTAGTAGTATATAATATTTTGCAACTTATACAAAATGTCATTATTTCAGCTTTACATATGTAATGAATGACTAATAACTAACTCAGGCATTTATGCAAGATTCTCGGTCTACGTGCTTGAGAAAGAGGGTAATAAAACAAGATTAGTTGCCATGTAAATCAGGTTAATAAAATAATTATTGAGATTGATACTGTAATTAAACAATGTTCTTTGAGATGAATGTGCAAAAATGTCTCAGTCATTGTTTGATTTCTTCTTGTTGTGCAATTATTTCAGGTTTACAGCTTTGATTCAGAAGTTAAAAAGATGAGCGTACTCCTCCTGACATGCTCTGTAACAGTTCTGGTTCTGATTGTAACTGTTTTTTACTGGGTGACCACCAAACCAAAACCTGTTAAAGTAACATGTGACCTTTCCAAGCAATCTGTGCAAACTAAGGCAAGTAGAAATTCTAACAATAAATGTGATGGTAAAAGTGGCTTGAGTGCTTGAAAATTTGATAAGTTGACAAGTTTTTTTGGTCCAAAATGTTTCTTCCTACTTAATCTAGATTTAAAATTTTCCTTTTGACTTAAATTGTGGAGCTCAACTTCTGAATTAGAAACAATTCAATTGCTGGCTACCTTAACTACTTGTTAGCATTTTGACTTTTGCTTTTCCCTAATCTCCTTTCTGTTTCTATATCTGTTTCAAGCTCGAAGAAAGCTCCATGCATGTTGCTACCCAATGATTCCTGAACTGTATAATTATTTACATTTATATCTTTACCCAGAAATGCTGAGGTGAGTTTGAATTTAGTGCTTGAACCCTAATCAAGCATGGACATTTCCTTTCTGTATGAATTACTACTGCACTAGGGAATACATTGATCTTTTATGCTCTCTGAACAGCCTTCGCATTTCTGGCAGAATACTGTATATTATGTCATCTTTGTTTTCTGGTGGGTGGGGAGGAAATATATGCATCATAAGTTTTCAATTTTAAATCCAATAATATCCAGTCAAAGCTATGAAACAAATGTTTCATCTCAACTGGAAGAATTCTAAAGGATTTGGGCAGTTCTGGCCTGCTGCTATGGCACTTAACCAGCTAACACCAATAATTTCCACTTTTAACATATAAATCAGCCAGAGATGCTCTTTGTTTAAAAAAAAAACTTCATTCATAGAATGTGGGTTTTTCTGGCTTTATTACCTATCCCCAGGCATTCAAAAATTAAATCTAATACTAGGCCTCATTGTGAAATATTAGGGCTGATCACCAAAAGCTTTTAAAAGAGATGGGTTTTGAATTCTGGATGAAAGTAAGAAAGGAAGATAGAGAGGTTTAGGTGAAGAGATCACAGAACTTAGAGTCCATGCACAATTAAAGTCTAGGAAGATTAAGAGTGCAGAATTAGATATGAGCTCAGATTAGAATCTCTAAAGATTGTGGGGATGGGGAAGATTGCAGAGATGGGAGGGAAGAGACCATGGTCGGATTTGAAAACATGGATGAGAATTTTAAAACATCAAAGGATACTAGCTTAGGAAATTGAGAAAAAACCTTCCTGTAGTCACTGGAAGGATCATCCTGGTTCCATGGAGACCAGCTTGAAAGTGGAACCTGGAGGAAATTTGGATAATCTTCAAGGAAGTGGGTCATGATTGGCAGTGGCTATCCATGTGGTAGTTGTCAGGAGCAAATTTGAATTAGTAACTGCCAATTTGTGGGCTATATTTGGTGTGTGTGTGGGTAGGGTAGGATGGCACTAGGATTTCTCTAATGGTGGATGCCACTCTCCCCCAGTTCTGAATGTAGGCAAGCTCCTGGCTGGGTAAGCCATGAGGTCTCCAGTTCTAACCCTCTTTACGGCAGTGAACACTGGGCCAAAGCTGTGCTAACTGGATTCCCTTCCAGAGGGTTGGCCTGGCAGCTGGGTCCAGAGATTTTTTTTAAATTTCAACGACTTCAGAGGGTGCCTAAAGATGGAAGCACACAAAGTCACCATTCTTTGGTGGGACTGCTATCCTCTGAGCCTGCAAGTATCCAAAGGATGGCAGACCCAGAGGAGATGAATTAGGTTGCCTCAAAGAAGATATGTCAATGGGTATACTGTCAAAAGGTGCAGAGGTCAGTAGTTGAAATTTATCTTCAGTCCTACTTCTAATTTTGCTCTAAAAATGCACTGAGGTAGAGCAGTAAGTATTCTGTTACAGAATGTGTTATAAATTGACTTGGAAGTGTTCAGCCTGGACTTCAAATATTATCTGTTCTGACAACGACAAACCTTTGCTTGGAGATGTTTTCATAATAAATGTTAAAATATTTTGTTTTTCTTTCAGAACAGTGAAGGTGCCAGGCGATGTGCACTTTTGAAGGATGATAATGTGATATCTTGCTTTTATGATGATGCCAGAACACTTTATGAAGCTTTCCAAAGAGGTTTACGTGTTTCAGGTATTAAAATATTCTCAATCTTGTGACTGAAGATACTTATAGAGTCATACAGCATGGAAACAGACCCTTCAGTCCAACTTATCTCCACCAACCAGACATTGTAATCTGACCTACTCCTATTTGCCAGCATTTGGCCCATATGCCTCTAAACCTTTCCTATTCATATACCCAATCATGCTTTTGCTTCATTCAATATTTATTGTCAAATATTTATTTTTCCTGTCAGATAATGGACCTTGTCTGGGCTATAGGAAACCAAATCAGCCTTATCAGTGGCTTTCATACAAACAGGTACGCATTGTGATAAATGAGGAAATACTGGAAATAATGTGGAGAGATCCAAATACAGCTATTAAATTATTTAGATTGTGTTACTTTTGAGAACTGATTCTTGTTGAGAAGAGCAAAAGAAAATGGATCCGTTTTGGTGGAAGTGGAGAAAGGACTCTGAGTCCCTCTCCCTTCCGCTTTAAAGAGCTCATGCCTGTGTCTTATGCACTGATTTGACTTCAAATGTAATCACTTTCATGCAATTGAACTTTGTACCTTAGCTCTCTGCCACCTGACTTACAGCTGGCTGAACTGTTGGGTGGTTACATGACATTGTTAGAAGTTGATAAACTGATAGTCTTCATTCAAACTCAACATTTTGCTGAAAAATCATGAAATCATAGCTAATCACCAGACACCTTTTGAAATTCATACGTGTCCACCTGCAAAGCTAGGAAAGAATTTAAAATAGTCTACACATGGAAAATTACCTTAGACAAAACTCATGACTGAAACTCTTATTTCACAGTACCTAAATGATTTCAGCACTTTTGATAATGCTTTGCAATTGAATCTAATTTGAACTGCAATTATATTGGTATGGCGTGTTATAGAAGAGGCTCTGTTGGGAATGGTGTGACTCATAACTTCTTAATCACAGTACAAAAATCAGTTAATTATCAGAACTAATATCCTGCCTATATATATATATATATATGCAGTCCACAGCTGAATATGCTTGTATTCTGCAGGCCCTGCGATAGGCTTAGGGTTAAATTATTAAAATGCACGTATGCAAGCTTTCATGCAAAAACATTGATATTAAAAATGTAACATGTATTTCCATTTAATGGTTTCCAGTAACAGAATCAATCTAATGGCAGGCATATTGTTCCAAGTCTTGCAAACACAGGCTGGTACAGCATCATCAACATGTTGCACTTTACAAATAGTCAAAATCGTCTGGACTTTGCTAACAATTACACCAGAAACTAATTTAAAATTAATAGTTGAGCTCAGAATGTGATGTATTTGCACATGCTGGAAGCTACATATATTAGTAGACAGAGCCCTGTTTTATGTAAGCAAAAGGGATTCATACACACATTGCATTTTGTCATAGAAGAAAAGGGGTCATGGAGACTGCAAATCTGCTGTATTCCCATGGCAATATCCTGACAAATCAGGGTCTACTTGCCAGGTCTGAAAACTAAGACTGGCAGTTAACTGTCTTGTTGTATCTCCATGCCAATGATGGTTCAGCCAATCAGCACCCGCTTCTCAAACTGGATAAATTGATACCCTTTCACAAGGCTGTTTCTTTCTTTCTTTCCTAAGGCTGTTTCTTGCATTATAGCCCTATGAGTGAAAGATGAAAACCTTTGACTTCTCTTTTTTTTTAAGCAGCATTTAATATTATGTTTTGGAATGGTATTTTTAAGTTTAGGGCAAATGAACGGAGTCATAAGACATGCTCTGCAGCCTGCCTGAGAGTAAACCAGCATAGTTTCATTGTTAGGTACTAAAAGATAGCTTAAATTGCTTTACTGAGAAGAGATACTTAGACTTGAAGACAATGGCAGCATTCCGAGTCTTCCAAAGTCTCACAGAGGTGTTCTAGGTATCATTATTGCAAACAGTTGTGCTTTAAACTGACCACTTACTTCTAAGATCAAAAAGAGCTGGGAATCAAGAAAAGCTAGTTCCCATTTCTTAGACATTGTAAGAACTGCCGATGCTGGAGTCAGAGATAATACAGTGTGGACTGAAGGAACACAGCAGGCCAGACAGCATCAGAGGAGCTGGAAAGTTGACGTTTCTGATCGGGACCCTTCTTCAGAAATTACCATTTCTACCTGGATACAAAGTTAATGGCCTGATTTTCAATCACAAGGTGAATAGTGGAAGTTAGGGGAGTTCCTCCTTTTTGTGTACCTGCCTCAGGAGTACCAGCTTCTGGGGTAGAATCTTAATTGTTATGGGGCAAGGAGCAAGTGCCAACTGAAGTCAGACCAGTTGACCTTTGGAAAGAGTTTGAATACAGCTACAGGCTACTGACAGAGGAATTAATGTTTCCCTTGTCCATTATGGCTTTAATTTGAGAAAGGCCTTGATAATTATTGATGAATTCTTCTAAAATACTGTTAACACAAGTACAGAAGGTAATGTTTCCACATGACTGTGTCACCCAATGAATGAGTTAATGGTGATGAAAAAAAGAGCCCCTGAAAACCAAAAGATAGTCTTGAAAATCAAAAAGTAGCCTTTGAGAAACACTCAAGAGCTATTTAGGAAAAAAATATTTTGTGCGCTATTGTGTGGATTATTGATCCTCTTATTGGGTTGCTGTGATCAAGGCTTTTTAAAACATAGTTTTAATTCAGTGGAAAGGTATAAATGAATACTTTCTGAGCTTGTGTTTTACACTGACAATGGTGGCTATAGGGTTCATTGTTTCTATGCAGTAAACTGTGAGCAGTGATATTGGCATACATTAACATGGGGAACATAAGGGGCCCAGTGGGGAGAATGTGCAGTGACACATTCTAGCGGAGGGCACATGAGGGTCTGGGGGCCATACCTTAGAATGAGGGAGGCATGAGGAGGAACTTTCAAACTTGCCTTTCCATATGGTCCATCATGCAGACAGTTTCACAACTCCTCTGATGTGTCATGAATCACATTGCTTTAAAAAGCTAGACCACCTCCCTATAATGTGTGAATGCATAGGTCATACCTATCTCTGTAATAGAGCTAGCCAGGTCAGGCATGTGGGTGTGGCCTCACAGCCTGAACCAGCCCTCACCCTTTAAAGGTTCTGGTGTAGATAAGAAAACCCAAGAATGGCATCAAGAATACCGAAACTGGAACCTGGCTCTTATTTTTAAAGGGCTGCTGAATCAACTTCAGTAAGCAAAATTTGTCTCCATGAGTTTAACGTTTCCATGAGAAAGAGGGCAGAGGGAGTCACTTTCAAGATCATGGTACAAGCTCCTCTAAAAATGAATGGATATCACAAACAAGAGTTGTTCTGCATATTCAGCAGAAAGAAGGGACTGCTTGTCTTTGTGAACTTTCTCAGTCAGATGTAGGAAGGAAACAGACTAGTCAAAATATACTGCATCCAGTATCCCATCTAAAAATTCCTGGAGATTGCTCCTGATGTAATCAGGGAAGAAAAATCATCAGTAGGACATCAAATGGTGAGTTGTATGGCAATTGTCTGTTGCATTTTTTGTTAGGTGGAGAAGGCTGTATGAAATCTACCAGATAGTCTGGGTTAAAATGTGGTGATCTATAACAAAACAATCTCAATTTTAAAACTGTCTCACTTATTTACAGGTATCTGATAGAGCGGAGTACCTTGGATCGGGCCTTTTATATCGAGGATGCAATCCATCACCAGACCAGTACATTGGTGTATTTGCTCAAAATAGGCCTGAGGTAAAGTACTGCTAACATTAATCAATACAAATTATTTTCTTGTTATTTATTGCAATTCATAAACCCAGGGGCTTGAGCTCTCATTTTATCATTCAACTCAGTTTAGTTAATCAACAGCATTTCACTAGATTTCTGAAGAGCTGATGGTGATGCCTGTGAAACAGACTGACACCAGGTCAGTTCTAATGTGTGTCATGGAGTCATACGGGATGGACCTTCAGTCCAACCAATCCAAGCTGAACATAATCCTCACCTAAGTTAGTCCCACCTGCCTGCTCCTGGCCCATATTCTTCGAAACTTTTCCTGTCCATGTACTTATCTAAATATCTTTTAAACATTGTGAATGTGCCCACATCTACCACTTAGAGTCATAGCATCATAGAGATATACAGCATGGAAACAGACCCTTTGGCCCAACCCGTCCATGCTGACCAGATATTCTAAATTAATCAAGCCCCATTTGTCAGCATTTGACCCATTTCCCTCTAAACCCTTCCTATTCACGTACCCTTCCAGATGCCTTTTAAATGTTGTAATTGTACCAGCCTCCACCACTTCCTATGGCATCTCATTCCATACACGCACTATCCTCTGTGTGAAAAAGTGGTCCCTTTTAAATCTTTACCCTTCCACCTTAAACCTATGCCATCTAGTTTTGGACTCCCCTATGCTGGGAAAAAGACTTTGACTATTCATCCTATCCATGACTCTCATGGTTTAATAAACTTTGTGATCCAAGAAATAGTGTAATTGTACAATTGCTATCCATACTCCTTTTTTTGGTGTCTCAAGCATTGTGGAGGCCAGTGGTAGATTTGACCACCAATAATAGTAGGAAAAATACTTCATTTAGACAGAGTGTAACATTTCTTGCAGTACATACTGGCTTGCTGAATTTAGGCAACTAGTGATGGAACCTCCCTGCCAGCTTTGAATATATAAAAATAATTGAAATTTTTTCTTCAATGTAAATGGCTAGCAGATGAGGCCATTGTAGAAGATTATACTCATAATGCAAAAGTCTTGCTGATCATTACATACTCATACTTATTTATCCAACAAGGAGGGGAAAGAAACAGCTAGGTAATTAACTTGTGTTCTGGGATCAAACTGTCCACTGTTCAAAGATTATCTACTTAAACTGAGATAAGTCCAGTAATTACATTATATTATAATGATTCCTGACTTATCTGATGTTAAAAGATTATTTGATCTTTTTAATATTAGAACTATTTCCATTTTCAGTTGCTTAGGTAATAAGGGCTGAGAGCTCCATTTAAGTAATTTTATCATGTCTGTTCGGTAAACATCAGGTAATGTTGACTTTCACCTAGCTTCAGTAATTGTTCTGACCTGAATATATTGACTTTTGGTTAAATTTGGATTTAAACTATGCTTTAGCTTTAATGTTCTTTCATATTCCATGCCTCAATGGCAGAAAAAGCTTTTGCTGAGATGATTTGTCATTGAACAGGTGCCTAATGCAATGTCCTGATGCATCTATTGTGGAATGATATCTTGCAAATGGATATTATTAGATTTGTAAACTGTTTTTATTTAAAACTTATGCTGTCTTTAATTGAGATACTAATTCCAGAACTTGTCTTTTAATAGTGGATCATTTCTGAGCTGGCTTGCTACACCTACTCTATGGCTGTGGTACCTTTATATGACACTTTAGGACGTGAAGCTATTGTATACATCATTAACAAAGGTGTGTCTCAGTGAAGAAAACATTTTTACTTGTGAAATGTAACTCTGGATATCATTGTCTAGGATTTACCTACATTGAAAGCAGAGATTGGCTTTGTATATAAATTATTGTACTGCATCGTTCTGTAGCTCACTCCAAAGGTGCAGTCACCTGCTCCTGCATCCTTCAGTAGTAGTTTGTGAAATAATTGCATTGCACAAAAATGCACATTTGTTTATTTTCCCCCAAACTGTAGGGCTGGCCATCTTGCACATGGGTCATATGTTTTATTTTTGTCCTTGTATTTATGTCTGGGAGGAAATGTTATTCTTATAATGGAGTGTGAGCAAATAGTTAAAAATCTATTCTGATTGCTATGGCTAAAATAACTATAGGCAAAATATAATCAGATTTAGTTACCTGTAATAGATAAATTGTACCAAAGCAGCAATGGGACCTGTATGAATAGCTTCATGGACCAAGAGGAAGAAAGACTTTGAAACTTGACAAAGAATGGGCAACAGATAATGTACTTCTATCTGTGAATTGAAGGAAGAGGAGAGGAGTTAGTTAATGCTATAGTTTACTTTTCTTACTTGCAATAGCTTTTCTTATCTCCAGTGTGGCATAAATCTGCACATAGACTATTCCTTCAGTTTGTGAAATTGACAAATTTCACAATGAGGATAAATGCTGAGGGGACCTCCCGTTTCCCCACATAGGAGAGTCTAGGAGCGGAGGGCATAGTCTCAGAATTAAGGTGAGTCAATTTAAGACTGAAATAAGGAATTATCATTCACAAAGGGCAGGATTAAGCTGGGCTCACTGATCATGAAGCAGACTCTACGCAGCTACAGGAGGTTGTGAGTGCCGAGGCATTCTGGTTAGAGGCCCTGAATCAATTCTCTGGGACTTGGTCCCAGTTGTTTAACAAGCTGTTAAGCCCTATCGTTATCACCTTCACACCCCTTCAATCCCCACCCACCCCTTCAATGCCCTTCATATCCTACAAACAAGATCATCCTCCCTCATACCCCCATACCAGCTCAATGCTACCTCATGTTTCCACCCATATCCATGCAGAATTTATTTTCCACACAGACCTCTGAGGTCTGGAACCAGAAGTCAAAGTTGGAAATGGAGTTGGCATGTCTTCGCTATGCCTGGACTCTTGGAGTGGCTGTGAACGTGCACAATCACACAGCTTAGAACGAGCATCACCCCCATGGTGTCTCTATTGCCACATGTTTGTTATCCACCATAAGCAAACTTCAGTAGATGTCTGGACAGAAAAAACATTTCCGACTGTCTAATATAACTCTCAGTTATAGATACCTTACAGTGGAAAAAAGACTCGCGATCTTTTCCAGTCCAGTGGTCAATCTTTATAAAAATGAACAAAGTCCTATGTAAACCCCACATCAATTACAGCTAACCTGTTAATAGCCTTTTTAAACTGCACAATTGCAAACTTAGAATTAATTCAACTGGGATAACTTTTGAAACTCAAATAAAACATTCATGATGACACACTAACATTTTGAAACATCAACAAAGAACTCTTGAAATTGCTTGAACAGATGCTACATTTTTTTAACCATAACCCAATAACCCACCAATAAAGCAATCCAACAGAGAGTTATTTTAACTCTATCAGCTTGATCATATTTTGGTTTTAGTATTTAAAGAGCAATTTCTTCTTAAAAAATCAGATATTAACATTTGAGTGGACTTTTATCTTCTATTCATTTTATATTTCTCCATTGATTTGTGACTTCCACATTGTGGTTTAAGGCCCTTGACTCAGAATAGGAGTTTGAAATTTATACTTCCTTCTTGTGTGAATTATACACAAATCCATTTCCCAGACTGGTATAAATTAGATTTTTTGGCAATGGGGCAGAACTTCCACAGCTGAGTCTCGCTGCTATTCTTCAATGTCCACAGAGTCTTACTGACTCTGTAAAAATCTGACCTCCATGTTAAACTGTGGACTACACTAAAATTCAGATCAAGAACATTTGCAGTTTCTTGGAAGGAATCTTTTGCCATTTCGATAAAATGATCGAAGGATTTGAAAGGTACAAATTCTGTCTTCAGTTTACTTAAATATTGGTAGAAAGATTGGAAAAGACTTGCTCCTTTATGACAAGAATTCATTAAAATTTTGGCATTACTATTGATTGACTAACCAGCTCAATGATGTATTTTCATTGCAATTAGTTCAGAAAAGGTTGACATGAATGATCCCCTTTGGGGAGGGACTGTCTTATGAGCAAAGGTTATACAGGTTGGGACTCTACTCATTGGAGTTTAGAAGAATGAGCAGTGATTTCATTGAAGCATATGGAATTCTTAAGAGGCTTGACACAGGATAAATGCTGAGGGGATGTTTCCCCACATAGGAGAGTCTAGGAGCAGAGGGCATAGTCTCAGAATTAAGGTGAGTCAATTTAAGACGGAAATGAGGAATTTATTCTCCGAAGGTTGAGAGTCTGTGGAGCTGCTTGCTATGGGGGCAGAGTCCTTGTGTATATTTAAGGCTGAGCTGGATAGAGTTTTGATCAGTAGAGAAATAAAGGGTTACGGGGGAAGAAACAGGAAATTGGATGTGAGGAATGTTGGATCTGCCATGATCCAAATGAATGGTAGAACAGGTTTGAAGGACTGAATGACTTACTCCTGTCCCTGTTTGGTTTATGGTCTATAATGGCGTTATTTATGGAAGGACAATTTTAATAGTGTTACTTTTTGATTTAACACTATTTCCATTACAATTTCCACTTCATGTGTGTAATTAAATCACTGTTTAAGTTTAAATTGTGTAGTCCTATAAAAGTATGGGGTAAGCATCGGTAACTGTTTTATAAGCTGGACATATTATGAGGGAACAAGTTCACTAAGTTTAACATTCTTCTTGCAGCTGAAATTTCCACTGTGATATGTGACAAGCCAAACAAAGTTCATACTTTGCTGGAAAATTATGAAAAAAACCTGACCCCAATCTTAAAAACTGTTATTCTAATGGATCCATTTGACGATGCTTTAAAAGAACGTGGGACAAAATGTGGTGTTGCAGTTCTTTCACTGAAAGAAGTTGAGGTAAGATGGCACGGCAGAATAATTGTTATTCCACATGTAACTATGAAGCCAAAACATAATTAGTTATATAACAGAATTGACAGATAAGATCCCTTCCAACATTCACCTTTCACATTTGGCCCATGCTTCAAGCTGGGTGGAATTGATGTTTTGTCAATCAAACCAGAAATAAAAGTTCATCACCACTATAGCTAACTAAAATATTTAAAAATCCTGAAATTGTACATATGAACATAAGACTGTACTTCCACATCCTTGTGCACATTGTTCCACTATCCTAATTGAATCAATTGGATCAGTTTCCATAAACGTAAAACATCTCACCGACTGTAAAAATAAATCAAAAATCTAAATTTACAAATGTTTTGAAGATTTCTTCAAGTCTGTCCTTGTGTAATTTTGGTACTTCACATGCTATAAGTTTAACCTTCATATTCTAACCGGCAAAAGTGACCTTCTTAATCAGGCAATACGATTAATGGACTTGTTTAATATTGGGTCATATTGAGCTAAATTATTGCTTTTGGGCTTGACAATGTAGTTACTAGTACAGATATTTGTCTTGATGTGCTGCATTACTAGAGGAAGCTGCAGTTAAATTTGTAGCTTCTTCTGATTCCATACATAAATATACCAAAAATATCATACCAAAAATCTGCACGAAAAGCTTTAACTCTTATGTTTCTAGCTTTTATACTAAATAAGCTGCATGCCAGGTGGAGCCTTGATTAGCTACTAAAAGTTACAGGTGACTCATGAATTTTCTTCAGAATTACAAATGTGACTCTTTGCTTCAATCTCAATAAAATAAGTTTCTTCTCTTTGATTTTGCCCTACTTTCTAACAATTTTTTTCTCTTCCCCTCATCTGAAAGTGTGATTATTTCAGAGTATGTTTCCTCCAGTAACTTGATACTGTTCTGTAATTGTAGGATAGAAAATAGATTGTAGAAGGTGGCCTTTTTGACCATTATACAGATGTCAGCAAGTTTGGTCTTGGGCACTGTCAACATTTACAAAATTCTGACTCTTTCACCAATTCAGTGCGAGTGATGACCCAACTCCCAGAAATACTGGCTTTACTTTTCTGGTCATTAAGATATTATTATTTTTGAGATTCTGGTAGTCTTGATTCATGTAATATTCTAATGATAACTTTAATATTATAGAAACTTAGAAAATAAAAGCAAGAGTAGGCCATTCATCCCATTGAGCCCACTCCACCATTCAATATGATTGTGGCTGATCTTCTATCTAAACGTGGTTCTCCCACTCTCATCCCATACCTATTGACTCTGTTATGTCGAAAATCTAACTTTCTCTTTCTTAAATAAATTCACTGACTTGGCCTCCACTGCCTTATGTGGTAGATAATTCTATAGGGTTACCACCTCTGAGTGAAGAATGTTCTCCTCATTCCAGTCCTAAACAATCCAGCCTGTTTCCTGAAACTATAATCCCTTTAACTTGACCATTGCCCCCTAACCCCACCATCCACCCCAAGGAAATATCATCCTTGCACCCAATCTGCTCAGCCCTGTCAGAAATTTACAAGTTTCAACGAGAATTTCTCTCACAATAGATGTTTAAAGCACAGAAGGAGGTCATTTGGCCCATGCCCACGATATGTATACTTTCTGAACACCCCCATTCCCTTTGGCACCTTCCTATACCAACACGGAAGATGTAACACATACTGTAACACCTCCACCCTCCTCACTGTCCAAGGCCCTAAACATACCTTCCAGGTGATGTGACATTTTACTTGTACATGTATCTGTTGCTCAAATTGCAATCTCCTTTTACATTAGTGAGACCAAATTTACACTGAACACTTTTATTTAAATTTTGAAATGTCCACTTTATTTGAAATAATTATCTAGAGTCGTCACTATAGTATGCAGCACACTACCGACTTGTAACACTAATCAATCCTCTACTACGTTTGATCTCCTAAACAAACAATATACTATTATCCATATTGCACTCTTATTTGTGTGTATATAGTTCAATGCTCTGACTGCCTCAGCAGTAGCTCAGGAGCACCACAAATATTAATTACAAATGTTTTTCTTCATAGGATCTTGGAAGAGAGAACTTAAAAAAGCCAGTTGTAAGTATATTGACCGAATCTAATAGACAATGATAGTTAAGTTGCTGAATCATTAATCTATTTTAATCCCTTTTTTTGATTTACTGTCATTTGAAGGTTGACTATTAGATAAAATAATGTTAGCCTGACTTGTCATTGTGACATGAACCAGTTTAACTTGTATTAAGAGGTAAACAAACCAAACTCAACACTAGGAAGTGCAGTTACACAGGAATTGTTCGATGCCAATTTGTGTTGGATTTTACTTTCATGGACAGAACTCATGATAGACATTCTTTTTCCCTGCTTTTCTTCCAATTTTTGCCTAACCTATTCAGAAATGTTGCGCAGTATATTATCCTGGTAAGGCTTAAAGCTGCCTTATTTTGTACCAGTCAAACACAAGAAGCAGTCTGTTTTTATCTATTCTGCTGCATCCATTCACAACCTATCACATTACCTATTACTCTTCTCTCATAAAAATAGCCTCAATTTTGCAACGTTTACATTGCTTCATGTTAGGCAGTGTCCTAGTGAAGCTATTATAACCACCCTACTGCTTAAGATGGTGCCATGAATGGCGACCTTGTACACTTTTCACTGTACTCCTGCACCCCTGTACTTGAATACACGTGACAATAAAACATAATTCTAATAATTCTAATTCTAATATTCTTAAGGACGCCAAAACTACAGGTAGAGCTACAACTTTAGAATTACTCAGTTTTATAGTCTTGTCATTGCACCTCTACTTTGACAATCTGTGCATCCAGCCTAAAAGCCTTACTTTATCAAATACTTTTTAGAAATCTAAGTACGCTACACCTGCAGCTTTCTCCTTATCCATCGTACTTGGTACTTCCTCAAACTAGATTTTAATAAATTAGGTTTTCCAGATTTATCCTAAATTACTATTGTAAGTCTCCCTTCTTTCTTGAATGAAGGTGTCAATTAGCTGTTGTCCAATCCATTAGGATCCTTACAAAACCTAAAGAATTTTGGGAAACCTTGGTCCATCCATCCCCAATTCTACCAATGCTTTTAAGGCCCTAGGATACAGGTGATGTGGTCCTGGGGTATTGTCAAATAACCTTCCCAACATCTTTTTGCTGCTGATGTTGATTATTTTAAGTTCTTCCATTTTGTTCACCTCTTAGCTTTCAATTATCTTTGGAAAATTTCTAAGTCTTCAACAGTGAAGAGAGACACAAAATACTCATTTGATGCCTCTGCCATTTCCTTGTTTTCCACTATGAATTCCCAAGTCTTCTACACTAGAGGACCAGCATTAGGTTTAGCTACTCTGGTCCTTTATAAAATATTTGGGAAGCATGTCTGTTTTACAATAGCTAGTTTTCTTTCATGCTTCACTTTCTTCCTCTTTATTTTTGTTTTAGTAATTGTTTGCTGGTCCTTAAAATCTGATAAATCTGCTGACCTATCATTAATTTTTGTATATCTCTACTATGTTTTTTAGTAAAATTTGATATTATCCTTAATCAGTCACAGATGATGCATTCTTCTTCAAAAGTGTTTCTACCTGACTGGGATAAACCTTTGCTGAATTATTAAATATTTCGTTTAATATCTGCCACTTTATCTCTACTGTCCTGCCCTTTAAACCTTTAGGTTTTAATTTTACATTTCATTAGCTTTGCCTTCATACCTTTAATTATTACTTTCATTCAGTTTTTTTTAAAAGACACCCTGGGACCTGCACTTTGTCCCTTCAAAGGGAATTTAAAAATTTAATCATGTTATATTGCTATCACCTAGAAGCCTCTTTGTCATGAAGTCATTGATTAATTCTGTCTCATTGTTCACAACAGCTCTAACATGTAAAGTTCTCAGAAATTGTCTTGATTTCCATTCAATGAATTCTTTTTTGCAGGCTACCTTTGTCAATCTGATTCATCCAACCAACATGTAGATTAATGTCATCTGTGATTATTATGAAACTTTCTTACATATCCCATTTATTTATTCCTGTACATTCTGTTGTGTAGTTTAATAACCATTAGGGAGCCTGTAAACAAATTGCCTGTTATCACAAATTACCTGTTATCTTTTTCTTGTATCTATCCAAATTAATTCTACATTTTGTTCTCTTCAGCTGAGGTAATCTCTCAAGAATGTAATAATGATAACCTTTACTCACACAGCTACCCCAACACATTTTCCTAGCTTTCAATCTTTTTGAAATGTCAGATTCACTTCAATATTCAGGTCCCAGTCTTAGTCATCTTGGAACTATATCTCTGTAACGACTATATTAGTTATTTTCAAATTCAGAGCCTTTAATTTTTTATTTCCTTTTGCAATCTCTAGCCTTATCTGCTGGTGCCCTCTTAAGTTCATACTCTCTGTCCCTTCCTCCCACACTCTGGTTATCATTACTCAATTGCTATCCTGCTCCATTACCTTGTTCTTCCAATTTGATTTTCCACATCTGCTCCACGTTATCCCCTAACAACACCCTAATTACATGATTTACCAGAGCATTAATCTCAACAATGTTCAAGTGAAGGCCATCCCAGTGGTACAGTTGCCTTAGTACTGAGGCACGAATTGAAACTTATTTCTCCCACTTCAGTCTTTGAGCTTGTCCAATTTTATGTAACTTGCACCAATATGTTTGTGGTAATTCAGAGATTAGTATGGTTGAGTTTCTGTTCTCTTTAAATTTAGATACAAGCTGCTCATAATCCCCAAGCAGATGATATTTCTTCACATCTACATTGTTGGTATCCTCTCCCACTTTAAGTTTTGGTGCAGATCAGTTGTTCTGATCACTGGCAGTCTACACAGCCATCTGGACATGTGATCTCCGGCTGCAGACATGTGTGTCTATCGTGACAATGTTTATGACTGAGGTTGGACGAGTACACTCTCTTTCTCTAGTCCCACTACTCCATGGGACATAAAAATAAATCGATTGTTTTATCCAGTTTCCCAAATGGCTAATCATATGCTTTCTCTATATTTGGATAAAAAGATCCATCAACAAGGTTTCTTTAATAAACACAAAATTACTGATTTATTATAAAAGAAAATCTATTTCACAAAGCTACAGAATTGGTTAACATGTACAGTTTGTCATTTGGAAATATAAGCTACAAATATACCCATCCATTCATACCAGGGAACAAGGATAAAACTGGTTCACTTTGAGACAAGATATAAACTTCTGACCAATAAACCTTTGCTTTTGAGGGCCAAAAGGGCGAGGTGTGGAATGTTCAGAATGATAGGATTTCCTGGCTTTTGTATACAGGTGCCTGGGATCTTTACCAATGCAGTTTGTTCAGGTTACATAATATCAAGGACTTTTTCAGGTGCTCTTCAGAAGGACAATCAGGATTCAGATTAGACCAGGAGAGGTTCAGGTACCAACTGGACCCACAAACAGAAGTTTTCTAGATGCAGGGAGAGTTGAGTTAGGAAGATCTTGCCTTTTTCCAGGCTGGTCACTAAGTGAAAAATTCAAACAATTGCCAAAGTGGATGCAGCAATTTGACAGTCATAACCCCAGGTGCGGCTTGACAAAAAGCAGCCAGTCATGATAAGACATGTGACTTTAAAGAAATGCCTAATTATAAAAAATGTTCCAATGTTCTTTACATGAGTTGTTATTTTTGAAAAAGTCCAGGTAGACACAAAAGTCCGCAAAAGCTATTAAATATGAAGCTGCCATAACACCATAATATCCCCAACTACTACTTTCCGAGCTACTCACCCAATTAAATGACTTCTTGTACCATCGTCCCATTATCAGTTCACTCATCCGCCTTTACAACTTCCATTCTCATCCATATAAGCTTCCATAATATTGAATTTGTTGGGCAATTCCAAGGACTGGACTCCTTTGATCCTGCTTTCTTGGGCCCCCTTATCTTTCTCATTCATTAACACACTCTCTTATCCCTGAACATGAGCCAATCAAAAGATCCTAATGTAAAGAGTGTGACTGCTTTCAGGAATAAAAGCGTGCAGGTACCTTTCCCCTCCCTCATGTATCACAATGTCTAAAGCTCAGCCTTCAGCTCATCAACTCAGAACGGAATTTCCTCAAACTAAGATGTTTTCCACAGATGTGGTTGTTGTGCACAACATTGGCATCCACTAACTCCCACCTGCTACAGGTCCAGCGCATCACCTTCACATCCATCTTTCTTGTGTTTAGTTTAACTCATGAGATTACACATAAAACACAAGTATCTATGACTAAATAATAGAGCTTATGTGGTTAAATTTTAAATTTAATGCAATGTATATATCTCCCTTCCTTACCAATTAAAGCTATTGCACCTGTTATATATTGAGTTAAAAAGAAGCTTAAAATCCAAAACTTACTTATTATCTTGCCACCTCTTTAATGCTTCTAGGCTTCAAATTGCAGATCCTTCTGCTGGTCTTCAAATCCCTCTCTTGACCCCTTATTTTTATGTAAAAAGTCAGAACAGAACCCTGCACCCCCCACCCCCCACCTCCTCCCTCACCCACCAAATTCTCAAGCTCACATTCTGTGTCTAGCTGCTCTCTTCGTGCTTCCTAGACAGTAAGTTGTATATTTATGTCTAATATGTGTTTAAAATGAGACTTAACTTATTGTTTTATAGCCACCAAAACCTGAAGATATGTGCATTGTATGCTTTACAAGTGGAACGACAGGTATTTCAAATCCTGTTCAGATTATAGAGTTTTCTCCTAAGGTTGTTTCTAGGTTGAAAAGTATTTTCTGTAGTGAGTGTTTACAATGAATAACCAGTCATCCATCATGCAAGGAAGAGAAATATTAATTAGCATATAAGTATTACTGTTGGATTTGAAAGACTTTGGTTTGAATCCAGGCAAGACACTCACTGAATTCCATTTAAATTTAATTGTGTTTATTTGGTATAGTTCCATACCCTGAAATTCCCTCCCCAATGTCCTTGTGGGTCTACCTACAGCACATGGGCTGCAATGGTTCAAGAAATCAGCTCATCGCTCCTTGTCAGGGACAACTAAGAATGGGCAATAAATGCTGGGCAACCAGCAATGCCTATGTCCCACAAGTGATTTAAAAAAAAATTAAATTAGTCATCTTTGTTTGATGGTCTAGACAGGAAAAAGCCAATTATTTTTAAATTTTGATGGGTTGATTTGGAAGTTGTATTTCTAGATGGAGGAAAATCAAAAAGCAGCAAATCTGATGCTATTGGAATTAAGATAGAGTTAAGTACTATGATCAGAAAATAATTCCAATTAATTTCACTTTGCTCAGCCAAGAACAGAGATGTTAACAATACATAACAACCTGACTTGGTATGTTGCACGCATTGGCTCTGATCCTTGATCTCCATGGAATTGTGCTTTATTCACTGAGCCGTTAGGGATGTCTCTCCTCTCCCCAAAAGAAATCATTGTATTAGATAAAGGCATATTTGACTACTGCATTTAATTATGCTTTTTCTGTCAGATTAGCTCATGCAGTATTTCCAGTACTGATATTTGAAGGATTCAGGATTTTTTTTTAAAAAAAATTAAATCTTCGTTTAAATTGTTAAACAATTATTTTAAAGTGTTGCTTCATTCATTGGTGAGTGCAATGTTTATATATCATAGGCAAGGCTTAACAGTTTTCTAAATTCAGTTCAAATAAACTGTGAAAGGGCTGCTTGTAAACATACAGTTCAGATTGATAATTTAAAACCTGACTCACAAATTGAAATTTGTTTCTCAGCCCTATTAAAACTCAATACAAACCTGCTTAATGAAACACTTTCTTGCCTGTCTGTGCAGTCTTTCTACTTAGACTGGCTCTTTCCACTCTTTTAGGATCAGATCCTCTCTTCATTAAAAATGTGGGCATATGTAGTTGCTGTAAGGGCAGGTGTGAAAACTCTTTAAAAAGATGACATCTTTGTTTTTATTTTAAAAGTCACTTGTAGCGAAGTTGGGTAGAGTACTTGTGGATTGGGAGGCAGGAAGTTAGAATTTGATGTTTGTAAAATATTGGTGTTTGTAAATGTTAGGAGGGAAAGCAGTGCATGGTCAGTTTAAAAGATGATGTGCTTTTTCTACACTTAGAAATTCAAAAAGGATGCCTGTGGGCAGCAGCTTGTGGGTTTGCAGATGCACAGAGAGTACCTGAATTGAAACATTTACATCAAAAGGCCATACAGTTAGCAGGCCAAGCAGCAGTTTTATTTGATACCAAGACAACAAGTTTTGAATTTAACCGACCAATTTGAACCAGGCACTTAGATACCAAAAACCAAACAAATTTAAATCTGATGGTTTTGACAAAAAAGGATCAATCCTATTGTAATAAATTGATATGTCATCAATGGTATAAAAGATGGGGCAATTGGGCAAAGACAGGAGAGTGAGCTGCCATCTGTTACAGATAACAGCTCTCAGCTCTTAAAGTAAGCACCATCAATTCATAATGATACCATGGCACTCCTAGCTAAGATTCCTGACAGATAAATTCACAGAGAAAGCATTCCTGACAGACGAATTCAGAGAAAGTGTTCCTGACAGAACATTCGACGGAGAAGACACAGAGCATCCCAGAAGACACATAATCTGGCTGTAATTTTGAGAGACTAGATTCTATTTTTTATTTTATTTTATATAAGTGGGACTTGTATTTATTGGGACAGCATAGCATTAGAATCTTGTTTTATTTGGGAATAGTTAGTAGTTAGAAGGGGTTTGTTTGGTTTGTTAATAGTTTAGTTAATTTGTTCACTGTTAGACTTACACAAATAAATTGTTACTTGTTGATTGTAAAGTGGGTGTGAGGAATTTTTTTAATTTAACCACTAGAAGCTGCTGAAAGGCAGGTTACACCACTTTTCACACTCCTTTTACAGATTATAGGTCGAGATGCTCCTCTTTGGGTGTTTTGGTTTTAGTTTTCAGAGAGGGGGTCAATCTCTCGTTTGTAACCATTTAAATTGGTGAGTGTAAAAAAAAAGCTCTGAATTTTTGGAGAGTGAAAGAGGATTAAGCAGAATTGTTTTCCACACTGATTAGTTTAATTGAAGGTATTCAAAGATCAAGTGAGCTGCTTGTCTTGCTGGATCAAATATGAAGTGAAAATGCTATGTGTTAGATTGGCACCTCTAAATGATAGCGTCAACCAGGTAGACTCAATATCTGAGAGATAGTAGGAACTGCAGATGCTGGAGCATCTCTGAAGAAGGGTCTAGGCCCGAAACGTCAGCCTTCCTGCTCCTCTGATGCTGCTTGGCCTGCTGTGTTCATCCAGCTCTACACCTTGTTATCTCAGACTCAATGTCTGACCTGGTTTTTATTTCCTCAGTAAATGTTCCTGTTTTTTGGAGTTGTATAGAAACTGATTGAAAACTGACATGATGTAGCAAACATCGCAACTCAAATCTTGAATATACTTGATAAATTAGCAGTTTTGTACACTCCACAAACATTTATCCACGAATCCTCCATAATTCTGTTACAGGTATCTGAATTTGTCTGTAAAATTGATGCCAGTCAAGTCAAAAATGTAACCTTTGTGGGGTTTAATGTCATCTACTTTCCTGCTAAATAAATATTAAATTAGACTTTGTGTGATGCAGACATAGTGATGGTTTGGAATCAAGTCCTAACTGCCGCTGAGGTGTACCATAACAGGTCCAAACAAGTTGATGGAAAATAAATATAAATCTTAAATTGTTTTCCTAATGTAGTGTGGAAGTAAGACAGACAGTGCATCAAAGAAATTTAAGTATATTGACTGTTGTGCAGAAATTAGATTTATTGATTTCTAAGAAGAAAATTTTAGATAATGAGGTGCTAATTTTTTTTTGTCCGATTTAGGTGACCCTAAAGGAGCTATGCTGACTCATGGGAATGTTATGGCCAATTCAGCAGCTTTCTTCAAAATAATTGAGGTTTGTATATGCAAATTGGGTGAAATCTGCACAAAAACTGAGCTCTGTCAGTAATGAAGGAAATTTTCAGAATTTAATAGCTTGTGATCATATTTAAGACAAAAATATGGTTTACTTATGTTACTTTCCCCTTGTCTCCCACTTTATTTTGCATTTGATTTGTTGAGCTTCCTTCAATCTGGTTCTGAGGAGCTTGTTTATCAGGGCCTCCTCGAATTTCTTTAAAAACAGAGAATACTGAAAATATTCAGTAGCTGTGGCAAGAGAAACAGAGTGAATGTTTCAGATTAATAACCTTTCCTTTGTCAGCTGTACAGTAAGCTTTACTTACAACATCAGGATGGAAAATGTGGAGCACATTGACCTAACAGCTAGATACAATAGAAAGCATAGCAGAAAAAGCAATGCTGAAGAATATTCAGGTCATGAAACGCACATGAGTAGAGATTTAGAAAGTATCATAGGGGTAGATTTTAACAGCTGAGGGGGCAGATGCCATATGCTCAAGTAGCCCCCATCAGGTGTGGAGGGGCACTGAAAAAATGCTGGATGGGGAGGAAGGCTATAGAGAGTAAAGAGTCAATATGTATTGGTGGATGAGATATTTTCCACATTACTTTCAAAATATGTTTTATGAGTGGACATAATGAAGAAACTGAAGTATAATTTAAAGGACATTGTTCCTTCAACTTATATTGAGTCTCAATGGAACAGTGTAGAGAGGTGGGAATGGGTCAAAGAGTTAAAATTGGAGAACAGAAGGTTGAAATTTAGCATGCACTACAAATGGACATGTCCTACAAAACGGACACAAATCTCCTTTTGAAGTGGGGAATGTAGAGAAGACAGCATTGAAAAGAGAAAGCTAAAAGGAGATTTGACAGAAATGTTCAAGAACATGAGGCGTCTGGACAGAATAGATAGGGAGAAATTGTTGCCACTTGTAAATGGATTGAAGTTTCAAAATGTTTTACATAAGAAGCAATTGCAAGGTTAGAAACTTTTTCACACAGTGAGTAGTAAGGATAGGAAATGCGCAGCTTGGAAGTGTGATGGACACAGGATCAATCGAGGCATTCAGGAGGACATTGGAAATTTAAATAAATAGAAGTAATATGCACAGTTACAGAGTAATGGCAGGTGGTGCAACTTGTGCAGACATGAGGCACCACATTGACTACTTTAGCACTGTAACAATGCCGTGAAGCAGAACATTTAATTCGTTGGTTTACCTGGAAGTAGGGGAGGTTGTGAGAAAGCATCTTCTCCATTTGCACGAGAAGTTACTATGGGAAGGGGCAGGATTTTGAGTGAACTAGGAACATGGAAAGACAAGTTGCTTTGAAATGCTGAAAGGGGAGGCAAAACAATGTTTGGTGGTTACATCATAGAATGACAGAAATGGTGGAGGATGCTGCATTGAACATGGAGGCTGGTGAGGTGGAAGATTAGGACAAAGAGAATACCCATCATGGTTCTAGGAAAAAGGGAAAGAGTAAACAGCAAAAATACATGAAGTAGAATGGACTCAACAAGGAAGACCTACTGGATGAGCTAGAATAGAAGCTTGCTTATTCCAAACAGATGCAACTGAACAGAGAAGATAGAGGAAGGGAATACAGTCCTAACAGGAAGCAGGGGTCAGAGAAACATAGTGAAAGTAACCATGGAAGTTAGTGGTTTTCAAGAGGATTTTTCTAAATAGCCTATCTCAGAATTAGGAATGGAGAAGTCAAGAAAAAGTTGGAAGTAGACGACATGAGGGAGGAACTGGAAATTGGAAAGCAAATCGGTTCGCAACAAACAACTGCACCTCCCAGTCGCGAACCATTTCAATTCCCCCTCCCATTCCTCAGACGACATGTCCATCCTGGGCCTCCTGCAGTGCCACAACGATGCCACCCGAAGGTTGCAGGAACAGCAACTCATATTCCGCTTGGGAACCCTGCAGCCCAATGGTATCAATGTGGATTTCACAAGTTTCAAAATCTCCCCTCCCCCCACCGCATCCCAAAACCAGTCCAACTCGTCCCTGCCTCCCTAACCTGTTCTTCCTCCCACCCCAAGCCGCACCTCCATCTCCTACCGACCAACCTCATCCCGCCCCCTTGACCTGTCCGTCCTCCCTGGACTGACCTATCCCCTTCCTAACTCCCTACCTACACTCACCTTTCCTGGCCCCATCCCCGCCTCTTCGACCTGTTTGTTTCCTCTCCACCTATCCTCTCCTCTATCCCTCTTCTATCCGCCTCCCACTCTCTCCTTATTTATTTCAAAACCACCTTCCCCTCCCCCTTTTCTGATGAAGGGTCTAGGCCCGAAACGTCAGCCTCTCTGCTCCTATGATGCTGCTTGGCCTGCTGTGTTCATCCAGCCCTGCACCTTGTTGTCTCGGATTCTCCAGCATCTGCAGTTCCTACTATCTCTGATTAGATTTGCCAGTTCAGTTTGAGAGCAGCATGTAGCATAAATATAATTGTGAATGTACTGAGCAAAGGATATGTGTGAGGGGATGGCAGGCATAGCTGGGGTCCATAAAGATTCCCAATGAAGCATCATTTTACTTGGAAGAAGTGGATCAGGTTAAAGGAGAGGTTGTTCAACGTAAGGTCAGAAGTCACATGACACCAGGTCCAACAGGTTAATTGAGCCAGAGAGATAATTACAAAAAATTAAAAATAAGATGGTGCTGGAGACAAACCAAGTAGGTGGAATAATCTGATAGGTGTAAAAGTTGCATGCCTAATTAAACGGATCATTGGTCATTCCTTCACTTGCTTTTCAAATGTTGACACTTTACTCACACTGTTTGAGACTTTTGATCACCTGCAAAGACTTGTTATTCAGCCTGTTGACACTCCGCTAACACTATTTCTACTATATTTTGACCTCTCACCTATAAATTCTGTGCCTGTGTGCTTCCCTCCACTTCACCTGATGAAGGAGCAGTGCACCAAAAGCTTGTGATTTCAAATAAACCTGTTGGACTATAACCTGGTGTTGTGTGACTTCTGACCTTGTCCACCCCCAATCCAACACCAGCACTTCCACATCGCGTTTAATGTCAGACAAGTTCCACCTTGCAGAGGAGGGTGAAAGTGGATGGAAACTGGATTAGGCAAGAACAGGTTGAAACAATGGGTTTCGGCATGGTACAAGGGCCTCTGCGGATATTTGGAATGGATATATATGTGGGCTGTATGGAGTTGGGAGACTGTATTTGTTTGGTCACAGTTTGTAGGCAAAAGGATTTTTCTAATCCTCTTCTACTCCACCTTCCCTACTTTTGTAGTTTGTTTTATCTTCTGACCTTTTCCAGTTCTGAAAAATCATCAGACTGAAAAGTCAACTGTTTCTCCACACTTACTGCCCGACCTCCTGACTCTTTCCATGACTTATATATAGCTCAGATATTCAGCATTGGTTGCACTTTGGGATAGTAACAGAATTGTTATGGCGCAGGAGATCATTCAGCCCATTGAGTCTAGGCTATATTTATTTGAAATTGAGCACATTTTAATGTGTGAAGATATATTGGCTTTAAGAGGTGCATTTTGTCCTTTCTTCCCTATAAGGAATGGTTGAGACAGAGGAACCAGGCAGTCTGCTCAAAGCCAATCAAGTAAATAGCTTGTGAGGCCTTGGGTTTTTAAAAAAAGTTGGAACAATAGAAGCAGCCTGAATGGGTGGGGTCAAGTTCCCACAGAATCAGGATTTTTAGTTTTAACTTTCAGCAGTTGCTGGGGTAATGAAGCTGGATGTGGAAGCTCTTATTCCTCTCTCTGTTACAGCTAAAAGCAGGGGTTCACTTCCTACTGTTAGAATTCTATATGAGACAATCTATTTTACTGAATTTGCCTTTGCCAAGGGTGTGTTTATGGGATTATTACTATATTGGAACTGTTAATTAGTTGTAGTTAATATATATAAATTATTTTACTTAAGTGTTTTGCTTAAAGTTGAGTTGTTTGACCAATCGAATTGCATCTGGAGTGCAACACCTTACTCTTACCTTTAAAATAAGAAAAATTAGGGTCTAGGCTATCTTCTTAATATATTTTGAGGGGGCTTGGTCTAGTCCATAACAGATGTTGAGGATTAGTTTGGGTTGAAGGTTGGAATGACATTAATCCGGTACTAAGAATTATAAATCATTTTGAGTTATGTCTCAAAGGTAGAATTGATACTATTTTTAAATCAATTGCTAACATATCTACCACTGTGGATTGTTTTGAAATAATCTAATAACCTCCTGTCTCTTATCTGAACAGAGCACATTTATTCCCAGAACTGATGATATTTCTATCTCCTATCTTCCCCTGGCACATATGTTTGAAAGAGTGGTGCAGGTAACTATCTGTTTTATTGCACATCTTTTGGGCTTGTATAAACTGCCTGTAAAAGCAGCACGCCTTGGATATATGAGATATAATTATAACAAGGGGACTAATATTGGGCATGATCATTGCAATAGACTTTGTGGTTTATTTTGCTCATTAGTTTTACAAAATACATGTCTTTGCCTATAGGCATCTACTGTTATTGAAATCCAAAACATAACTTTGGATTCTTGATTGTGTTTTCAACTCGATAGATAAGTAATCCAATTCTTTTGTGGATTCCAATAACTTTATTCTGAATTGATGCAGAATTCAGCAACCAGCCTTGACCTTTCTGTCAATGGTCTGGCATAACTATGATGGTTGTTTATGGGATAATTTTGAAAATGTCTTATTAAATGGATAAAATTGTACTGTTTCAGACAGCTCTGTACTGTAGTGGTTCCAGAGTGGGCTTCTTCCAAGGTAATATTCAATTGTTGACAGATGATATGAAGACACTTCAGCCCACTGTCTTTCCAGTTGTGCCAAGACTATTGAATCGAATCTACGATAAGGTTTGTTTCTTTTGTTGCAAATAATTTTAGAGAAATGGAGTTAATTGATTTTCAGTGAATGTATTCTTCCTAGTATTCCTTTCATGGGGATTTACTGTATTTGAACATTTAATGGATGACTAAATTTTTTTCCTTCTCTTTTCCCTGCTGCTTGCTATTAAACTGACTTCAATGAGAAGGCACAAAAGGGCTTATAGCTTCCCCTCCTTGGCCTTCCAAAGATTGTGTAAACCTGCAGCCTACTTTTTTGACTTAAGTACACTGCATATCCATCTGACCAAATCTTATCACTGAGACCTATTGAGATATCGGTTGACTTTTATTGCTCATCAGCATTGATAATGTTGTGACTGCCTTGTTAAGCTGATTGTGAATTCACCCAAATACAAAGTAGATCCATATAACTGAATAATTTTGAGATTCTAAGTACACAGCCCACATGTCTGAGTTGTGCTTGATTGTTCACAGGTGCAAAGTGGGGCACAAACACCTTTCAAGAGATGGTTGTTGAATCTTGCTGTACGTAGCAAAGAGGCTGAAATTTCCAAAGGAATTATTAGAAATGACAGTGTCTGGGATAAACTGGTTTTCAACAAAGTTCAGGTAATTTTAATTGTCCCATGTTGCAAAATGATCTGACCAACATGCTTTATTGTCTGCCTATCTCTGGTTATTAGTCAGGATCTTGGTTATGCTCATCTAACATGGAGATCAAATATTTGATTGCTTCAGTAATGTATGTTGTTTTCAGTAAATATTTGTTAGTTTGTGTCACAGCCAGTAAGGTTATGTCATATTCATAATGTTAAATATGCATTGTATTTAGTATACAATTTTTTGGATTTGGCTTTTATTTTATAAAAGAATGTTAAGATACTGCTGAGGTGGTGCATGAGGGTCAGGTGACTTTTGCAATTTCTGTGCAGATGAAGAAGTAGCCCTAGTCTCCAGAAAGTTTCTAGTCGAATGAGCGTTAAGTGCAATGCCCCCCTTGAATGAATATGCCAAGATTAAACTATTTGTGGAATTCACACCTCCTACTACTTGTGGGTTTACACAAATCTCAAAATGCATAGACCCCCAGACTCACTGTCTCTGGGATGGATATTAATGAGAGCTGTTGAGAAACCAGTTCAATCACAAGCCGGTGTAATTAGCCAGCATTTATTCCCCATTGCCTAGCAATAGCTTTGAACTTCAATTCATTCTGGGTGGACAATAGAAGGATTTGACCAAATGCCATCTAACTGAAACTAATCACCAATAATAAATCTTATTACCCAAAGAACCAGGGTAAAACCAGTCAGCCTTGAATCAACGCAATATAAAAAAAAACAGCAAAATCAGCAATATTAATGCTTAAGCAACATTCTCAGAGTTCCAAGTCTGTTCATGTCCAAATATGTAAAACTTACTTTGTGACAACAAGACTTCAAGCAACTGACATCATTACCAACTGAAAAAACATCTTTTCAAGGGAGTCCTGCAATAATCCTGATGTACAACTCTAGCCATTGAATCCACATGGATTAATGAGAGAAAATTGCTTCTTCCATGAGTGTACAGTGTCTGCTCCTTCCCCATATGATCAAAACCATCTGACTGTTATGTGATCAACATGTGACTGGCTTGGTTTATAACTTGTAAAAGTACGTTATCAATTATGTGTGTTTCTCTTTTGTATGTGTGTGAGTGGTGAATGAATGATATAGCATTATATTTCACAGTGAACAGGGGAAGAAATATTCCTTTATATTTAAATCCACAGTTTGCTGCTGGTTATTCAAATTGACCCTGCATTCTTGGGTACATACACGCAGAAGGGAACAGGAGTTTCAATTCTCTCTCATCTCTGTCCATAACGTCCGTACTTCTATATCCTAACAACACTTTCTGCTATCATCGTCCAACTTAATGTTGAATAAGTAATTTTTATTTTCATGTCACGGAATCATAGAATGGTGCAGAAGGAGGCCATTCAGCCCACTGTGTTTGCACTATTCTCTGGGCATATTGACTTAATACCAAACACCTGCCTTGTCTGCATAACGCCACACATTACTTTTACTTAAATCATCATCCAATATCATCTTGAATACCTATTGAACCTCCTTCACCATATTCCAGGCAGTGCATTCCAAACCTAAACCATTTTCAGTGTGAAAAGCATTTTTCTCACCTTGTTGCTGCTTTTGCAAAGTACTGAAAACTGTGCCCTCCTGTCCCTGATCCTTTTAAGAGCAGCGACGTTTTCTTCCTGTCTACTCTGTACAGATTCCTTAAAATTTTGAAAACTTCTATCTGGTCCCTGTTACCACTGTGCAGTAATGGGTAGTCATTAACTGTGCATGGGGAAACAGCAATTTTCCATTTTCGTTGTGGTAACTACTTACTTTACTTTTATGTACATTAAGTTCCTGAGAATAATCTGCCCAAGAGCAAGCGCATGATTAGTTTGCCATCTATATATTTCCATAATGTGGAAGATTGAGTTTTTCCATTGTGAAATGCCTCTGGCAATAGATGCTTCGAGCAGAAAAAGTCTAGCAGTCAGTTGAAATAAATGCATTTATTGCTAAATTACAGCTTATTGTTATTATCTAGAATAATAAGTAGTGGTTATTTACTCCTAATGCATTTTAGAACTTGTGCAAACCACTTGGCAGCAGGTGAACTTGAAACTAGGAGCCATTGTATATGGAATGTCATTAGGCAGTTCTCCACATAATGAAGTGTCAGGACAATTACAATTTTTGAGATTACAGTAACTGAGGTTTTATTCCAATGTGTCTCTGACTTGAAAGCAGCGTGAAATTTCACTTGCCAATGATGCCAAACTTGAACTCTGGCAGATATTAACTGACTGCGGCAGGATATAGATAGGCCATGTTATGATCCAAGCTGATGCTATTTCTGAATGAGTCAGATCCTAGACTGAAAACTGGCTTGATAGATCTTTTTAACCATAAAACAGAAATGTAATAGGCAAAATAAACAAAGATAAAATAGAATAAAGCAAACTATTTACATGTAACACAAATTTTGAAACGCATGGAAAAGTACAATCCCATTAATCACAACAACACTCTACAATATTCACATGAGAGAGAATTTATTCCTCTTTTATATCTATAGGACTTAATTTAATTGTAGCTTCAATTCCTGTCTTGAGAACCTGATGTCTCTTCCTGGAGCTTTCATACAACTGAGCTTACACTTTCTCAGCTTCAAATAACCCCTTCAGGGTAACCAAACATCTCTGGTCTAAAATTTTTAAACTAAACTCCTTTTAGAGCGAAACAAAAACAGAAATTGCTAGAAAATGTCAGCAGGTCTGGCAGCATCTGTGGAGACAAATCGGAGTTAATGTTTCAGGTCCAGTGACCTTTCTTCAGAAGTGATTGTAGCTGGGAAAAAGTTGTTTTTTATGCAGAAGATATGGTGGGGGGAGGAGGAAGGTGTAAATGATAGGTGAAGACGGAGCCCAAAGAGAGAGAAGAACAGTTGACAGACAAAAGAGTGGATAATGGTCAGCATAGGAGAATGGATGGCTACTAATGGGGACTATTAGTTGCTAATAATGGGTTGTGTGTAATAGCTGGCCATGTGATAACAGGGCTTGGTTTGTGGGGGTGGAAAATGAGGTGCTGTTCTTCCAGCTTACACTGACCTTTGCTAGAGCACTGCAGCAAGCCCGAGACAGAGATGTTGGCCAGGGAACGAAGTGGTGTGTTGAAGTGGCAGGGAACTGGAAGCTGGGGTCTTTTTGGCGGATAGCACTTTTTGGTGCTCTGCCAAGTGGTCGCCCAGTCTACACTTCATTTCCCCAAGATAGAGGAGAGCACATTGTGAGAGCAAATACAATAGACTAGATTGAGTGAAGTGCAGGCAAAGCACTGCTCCACCTGGAAGGTGTGTTTGGGCCCTTGGATACTGAGGATGAAATGTTAACTCTGATTTCTTTTCACAGATGCTGGCAGACCTGCTGAGCTTTTCCAGCAATTTCTGTTTTGTTTTTGATTTCTAGCACCCGCAGTTTATTTTTCCTTTTAGAGAGAATATATTTCTTACAACCTTGAACTTTCTTAGGAGTAACTGTTTTCCCACATCCCTTCAACCAAAATTTCTGCAAAACCTGCCTGACTGAAATCCAAAACCTCTTTTTCAAGCTATCAGTGTTACCCCTAAGCCCTTTCAGTATCCCCCCAAAAAATTCAGAATCTTCTGTCTAAAAGCTTTGATTACTTGATTCGTTCGTTTGTAAGTTTTCCCAAACAAAACCCAGGAAGTCTGTCTGTGGTACTGTGTTTTCAAAGAACTTACCATGGATACAGAAATTCTTACAAGTTAATCATTAAATCCTTTCGTAGGCCTACAGAAAACCCATGTGCCAGTAGTTTAACATTCAAAAATTCAAATGAATTATGTTAAAGGTTAAAGTAGCCCTAGTGCCACCAGACCATATGGCTGCTCTCTCATTTAAGAGAGACAACCAGTAATGGTTTAACCTGAAGATCACCATGCCCCAGGAGGGGGGGAAGATTGAGAAGGAGAATCGTTCATGGTAATCTTAGCTGAGGTGGGAATTGAACCCAAGTTGTTGGTATCACTCTGGATCACAAACCAATCATTCATCCAACTGAGTTAATTATCTTCCATCACAGTTAGCAGAATGGACAGACAAGTGGCAAATTGAATTTAAAAAGGTGATCCAGTTCGGCAGAAGGATGGGAAGAAGATTCAATGGCATAATTCTCAAGTATGCAGGAACAGATTGACTTGGGGTTGGGGGTGATGGGAAATACATGTGCATAGATCTTTGGTTACAGGATGTGTTGAAAACATGGTTTGCAAAGTATCTGGAATCTTGAGCTTTGTAAACAGAGGTATTGCATCCAAAGGCATCCAAAGGCTAGTCTTTTTTAGAGGTCTCATGAAGCTACAACTAGAATATTGCCTAGTTCTAGTAATTGTACTTTAAGAAGGATGTTAGGGTCCTTGAAACAGCGCAGAGGAGATTTACCAGAATAATTCCAAGGTGAGAGAATTTACAACAAGGTTAGTTTGGAAGAGCTGGAATTGTACTCCTTGGAACAAAGGAGTTTGAGGGGAATTTTGTTTGAAATGCACAAGATTATAACAGAAAAAGGCAGGGAAAGAACAATTCTTCCCATGAGCCTTTGGTAACAGGTCTAAAGGACACAGAATTAAGGAGTTAGGCAAGAGATGTAGGGAGTTAGGAGAAAAAGCTGTTAAGATTGTAAGAAGTAGGAACAGCAGAATAGAATCTCGCTGCCTATGAAGGTGATGGAAATGGAGATGATCAATGATTTCAAAAGGATTATATATTTGGCACGTGAGGGAAAAAATCTTCTAGGACTATGAGGATAGATGGAGGAAAAAGAACTGACTGGAAAATTTCTACAGAAAGCCATCATGGTCTCGATGGGTTCAACGGTCTCCTTTTGTACCATAATGACTCTATGACTCTAGTGGTGCTCAATGAGTGCTAATTGTATTTATATATGTTATTATCTTAAACTGCACAGGAGCAAACTGTGAATTCTAAGAACATATTATTAACAATTTCTACATCCTAGTTTATCATTCAATGAAGCAATTAATTCTTTCTCTTTTGTTTATGAGCATTTAAGTTTTTTTTGAAAATAATGTTATGTTTTGTACCAAAGGCTACAATGGGAGGACGTGTCCGTATAATGGTAACAGGAGCTGCTCCCATCTCCTCTTCTGTTCTGACATTCCTTCGAGCAGCACTAGGCTGTCAAGTAAGTCTAGGTTCTAGCCTGTACTTTCTTATTTATCTGCTTTCACTTCAAAATTTAATTCTGCATTCCAAATTGTTTTAATACGTGCAGGTTTCCATTTCAGGAAGTGAGTGCAAATTACATTTATGGGAATATTTGAGCTGGGAAATAAAGGCCTAAAAAAGACAAAAAATTACTGCCATGAACAAATAAATTTGTGCTTTAACGGTAAACCTGATTGTATTGTGTTGGTAAGATGGGATCTAAATGCTTTTCTTGTCCTGTCTAGATTTTTGAAGCATATGGACAAACCGAATGCACTGCCGGATGCACCATCTCAATGGTTGGAGATTCCACTGCAGGTAATTTGCTTAACAGAAAGCCCACCCTCTCCAATCTCCTCTCAAATGCCTTAATTATCAATTGAAATGTCACCTTCAAATTTTAGTCTAAATCACTGTTATCTGTCAAGTAGCCCTGATTTCAGAATTGGGCTACAAGTAAACAAACTGCTCCATTAACTAGAATTAGCAATAACTTTTTAAGTTGAATTTACGTTCTAAATCTAATTCCAATTAATATGATGGAAAATGTGCTAAGGAAACTGCCTCACAAACTGTTGAATGTAGATAGCATCAGGGGCAGGAAGAAGCTGCAAGGTTAAAAGACAGCACACTGTTGAGATTTGTGAATTTTTAAAATATCCCTATATACTGAGGCACAGGGTACTTGAGAAGAGGAATAGGCCATTTGGCAACCTCAAGCCTGTATTGCCATTCAATAAGATCAAGGCTAATCTGTGACCTAACTCCAAACAGCTACCTTTTCCTGTATTTCTTTGGCTAACAAAAATCTGTCACTCAGTTTTATAACTAACAAAAGAATTGATTGCTGTTTGCAAAGGGGAGTAGTGGATAGGGGTACGTAGGGTTTTTGTAAGGTAAGATGCAAGTGTTGGTGTCCTGGGTGAGTTGCTGTTAATGCAAGATAGATTTAGGGGGCCATGAAGAGGCCATTGCAGAGGAGTTGACAGGGGGACGAGATGGGAGAGAAATCAAATTTGAAGATAATTTCAATCTTGGTTGAAGGTTTTGTTGACAATTGAGGACTGAAGTACAGGATGAAGATTGGTGATTGTTTTAAGATGCAAATGGGACTTGGTGCTCCAGATGTTGAGTTTGATACTCATTTTCATCGGTCAATGAGCTTTCATATTGGTGATGATAGAGCAGTCACTGACACAGTGAACAGGCTCAGAAGGTTGGGGATTAAATTTCATTAGGTAGCAAATGACGGTTTTGGTTTTTCCAAAATTGAGTTGTAATAAATCTAAGACTCATTCAGAATGTGATTTCTGACTGGAATCTGACAATAATGATGTTATGCTATGTTGTAATGTTGTTAAAGCAAAAGAAAGGTGGTTATTGGCAGCATAGAGCTGAAAGCTAAGCTGACTCCATTCTGTAGCTAAATTTGCCAATGAGCCAACTACAGAAATTTTTAAAAATCAAGATTGACGACATGAGAAGGTAAGTATTTACAGGAGATGGAAATTGAGGCAGGTAGGATTGAGGCAGTGAATGTACCATAACACGGTTTAACAACAACGCAACTGGCTTTTACTATGAGCTCCCTTCTTTTAGAAGGAGAAAACTGACAACCATTATGCTGACAGATTTTCTTTAAGAAAATCTAGGTTGTGATTAGAGATGACAAATTATTGCCTATATATGGGAGTATTATAATTAATTCCAGTTTCTTCTTTCTGATTAGTTTTGTGACGAAATATAGCAATGTCCTATTCTACATAGGTTCCACACTGAGGTGTTAATAGATACCATGAAAGACAAACTGACATCCTGATCAAACAAAAGTGCATGTCCAACTTTATCGATCTTAATTGTTGTAGACATTCAACAGCTTGCTGTGCACATTTCCACAGGATTCAACACAAACCAGGGGCAACATGTCTCGTATTCCATGCATATGTTCAAGCAATTGGAAGAGAATCCCTTGTGACCTTGAGTTTTCTGAACATGGGTTTAGAGAATATTGACAGGTTCAAAAGCAAACTCACAAGGACGTGTTTGCCGTGGGCACCAAGTGACCATCTTTGACTTATTCATGGTATCATCTGTCAATTCCTTCTAGAATGCTGACTTCATTCAAATCTGTTCATGTGCTGCTTTTTCTTCTAGGCCATGTTGGTGCACCAATTCCCTGCAATATTGTGAAATTGGTTGATGTTAAAGATATGAATTATTTTGCTGCCAATGGAGAAGGAGAGGTAATGGAGAATTTATCATGCCATAGTTTAAATGTTGCAAACAGACATTTGCTGATGCTTAGTGGCCTTTTCTAATTTAGGTCTGCGTCAAAGGCTCAAATGTGTTCAAAGGTTACCTGAAAGATTTGAAAAGAACAGCTGAAGCGAAAGATTCTGATGGATGGCTCCATACAGGGGACATTGGAAAATGGCTGCCTGTAAGTTATTTCCTTTAATTTCATAAGACAAGGTTACTAATTGGATATCTTCATACTCTAATCTGTGGTTGTTTGTATGCTATGCCCTGCCTGGTTCAAGTTCCAGTTGTCCAGAGTTTTGTAATTACATCTCTAAACTGGATCATTAGAAATATCTACCATTTTTCAAGATGCTCTTGTTATGCAGTGGTAGTGTCCCTATCTCTGGGTCGGAAAAGCCAGGTTCAAGTCTTACCTGCTTCAGAGGTGAGTGATAACATCTCTCACGAGGTTGGTTAGAAAATACCTACAACTTTTCAAAATCCATTGGTCTCCTTTTAGACTTAGAGTGGTATTAAAGTTTCTTTTAACAGTATGACTGCATAAGAAGATCGCAGCAGATGATCGATTCAGTATTGACATAATTACTGGTTCAACCTTTTTCATTTCTTCTCCTCCTTTCAGAATGTTACCCAAGTTGAAAACCAGATGGTTGCAGTCTCAGTTACCTCAGGAAGACTATATGAATGCTACCTTGTCCTGTTGCTGTGTTCATTAAAATGTTGTTATTTGTAGTGGGCTTAACTGTTAATTTGCCAGAAATGTATATCACAACTAAAGTTGAGCTCAGTTGCTTTCCTGGAGCTAATTAACTCTGAATGCAAAGGAAAAATCATGTTGTGCTCTAAAACTGATCAATTGCTTATTAATTCCATCTAAGACGCTTGTTTAGGCTCGAATAATTAACTGAATGCATTTCTTTAGCTGCAATGCACCTGTCTGGACAAGTGAAATACTAATGAGTTTTTGTTTACAACTAATGAGCATTGGAAGATTCAAAGGACAATGATGAGCAAAGGTGATTCTACTGTGAACAAATAATGAGTGTTTGCTTTAAATGATTAATAACTAATTTCTGATGGTTCACTTGGAGATTTAACAAAATGTTGCATAGAGAATTTTGGTCTTTCTGATATACTTCACCTCACTTTTGCATTTTCAGAATGGAACACTGAAAATAATTGACAGAAAGAAGAATATATTTAAACTAGCTCAAGGAGAATATATTGCACCAGAGAAAATTGAGAATGTATATATTCGAAGCGCTCCTGTAGCCCAAGTTTTTGTGCATGGAGACAGCTTGAAGGTAATATTTAGATGATTTTCTATCTCTATGTTTTATATTTTTTGACTCCCAAAGCTATTTTGAGTAATACTGCATTGTGCATATACTAGGAAATAAAAGAAATCTACCTAGCCATGATTTAACTTGATGTTAAATTTCTGCTCCTTAGATTTTGTGTCCAGTTGAACACTACTGGCAGTCAATAGCAGGTTGTTGCATGAATTTTGGAAAGTCTTCATTTTGCTTCCAATGAGTTAATTATATTATGTACCTTTTTTTTAAATATCCTTTTCAGTCTCATTTAGTAGCCGTTGTGGTACCTGACCCAGAAGTACTTCCGGAATTTGCCGCAAGTAAAGGATTCAAAGGCTCCTATGAAGAACTTTGCAAGAATCCAGTATGAATTTTTATTTTCTAAGTGTAGATGCTTAACATTTTAAACCAGTATAAGAGCTTGTAATGAATCTTGGAATCCTTTCCATTTACAGTATTTCTAGGTTTAAAATGACTGATGGTGCATTAAAATGATGAAGATACAGCATGTAATTGGGTTCGTAGGTATTGTTTCTAGTGTGAAAGGGCTCCAACTGTACATATTTGCTCCTATTCCCTTGGAAGATGAATGGCATTAGGTGGATTCTGGGAGCGTGGTTTGTAACTTTGAAGTGGACAAGGTTTCACAACAAGACCTGTACTTGTTGTTGAAAGGTGAACCCTTGTAGTTGAAAGGTGAACCCTTGTAGTTAATAGACCAGTGTTGTCTTGTCAGTTCCGAAGAAATCACCAGTTAAGATTTATCTCAGTACTATGCAAGACATTAAGTAGACCATGGACTCAGCTTTGAAATGGTCCTATCTTAGTTGATGAAACCTAAATTCCATCTCTATTGAAGAATCCAGAGGCTTTTCAAGTTGAAATGAAAATTAAATGATCTAGTTTGATCAATTGTATTTGATTCAGTTCTAAGTTTACCAAAGGTGGTAATGCTTTTCTCCCATCTTTACCCTCCATTTTTTAGGAAGTAAAGAAAATTATTCTAGAAGACATGGTTAAACTGGGAAAAGAAGCTGGACTAAAATCATTTGAACAGGTACATTATTAAGCTCAAACAAGAAAATGCAGCAATATAAATTGGCAATTAACTACTTAAGTAACACTATAATAATTAACCCACCAACCCCCACCTGTCTGTTGATTCAATTACATCTCCATCTTAGTCCTGCCTTACTACTGGCTATTCTTCTCTAAAATGCACAATGTTTAAAGTAGTTCATGATTTACCATTTACATAACATCAATGTGTTTATTCCATATTAACTGATGTAAAAATGGGCAATTCTTTTCTGAGATTTGATTTAGGAACCAAGAAAAGCAGAACATAAAAACAACCCTGCAATTGCTTTTATTGTCCAATGTAGCCTTGCTGGAATACATTCTGTGGTCATCAATCACTGTAAGGTCAAAATTCTGAAATTACATTCCTAACGTGGTAATATTGGTGCACCTAACTCTCATGGACTTCTGTGCTTCAATAAAACAACTCCCAAACATCATGTCTAGTGCAGTTCTGGCTGAACAATAAATACTGGCCCAATCAGTGATATTCATAACTTGTGAATTTTGCAAAATTATAAATGCATGTACAGTGCTCTCCTTTTGGTCAGTTATATAATGTTCTAATTTCCCAAAGTGTGCATGTATATCAACCTACAAATCTCCCATGAAAACAAAAGCCTTCACCACTATAACTCGAGTCTTTTTCTCAAAGACTTGCAATTTATTTCCTGGTAACACTTAAGTATGCTGTGCATTCTTTTGCCTTACTGTCCAATTGATTGACTGTGAACATCCATGTCCGAGGCTAAATGGCTGCCTTTATATCAAAGGATGGAAATTATCTGGCCTTGACTGAACAAGAGCCAATCAAGCTATTTTAATACTAAAAGTGTGAATGTGGACAGAGAAAATTAATTGTTGATCCTCAGCACTTTAAATTTCAACAGCATCTTGTACTATAGTCAGGGCAGATCTTCGTTAAATTTTTTTTTGAAATGCTTTTAAACTAATAGTCTTATTTTCCTAAATCAACCTTTATAAGAACAGGATTAAGACAGTCAGGCCCTCGAGCATTTTCTGTCATTAAATTAGATGACTGATTTGTATCTTAGCTACTTCCAATTTTATATTTGCTCCAAATCCTTTTATACCCCTGTGCATTGCAAATCTATCAATCTCAGATTTTAAATTATGTAACAGCAACAAGCTGCCACATGGTGCATATGTTTGATAGGGTTTGTCCTCAACGTAGTTCATTGAGAATGTACGGGCTGCCCAAGACACAAGAAAGTCCCTTTCTGTCTCATCATATTTATGACCAGCTCTGAGTAACATGAAGGTATGGTGGAATGGTAGGGCTAATCGTTACTATGAGTTAGAGCACGATTTCCATATACATAGTGAAGGACTTTTTGCATTGGCAGGAAGTGGGGGGATTGTCACTGTGTCAGCAGTCCCAGGGCCCAGGCTAAGGTTCTGGAGACATGGATTCAAATCTCACCACAGAAGCTGATGGATATTAAATTCAATCTATAATGTTGTAGAAAGAAAGGACATGCAGATGGTGCATATATTTCAACTTAATAGGTGACAGCCATTCGCTAGTTCATTGCTCAGGGCAATATTTCTATCAACTACTTGTCAACCAGTTAGCAGTTACCTATCACACAGATGTTTTCCATTTACATTGGTACTTCTTGTGAATTGTCCCGATTAGTGTTAGATGAAAAACGTTTCAGTAATATGGCAGATTTTTAAAAAATTCATTGAATTAGCATCTACTGCTTTTAGTGGGAAGCAGTTCCATGCATCTCCTATCCTTTAATGTAGAGTGCTTCTTGACTTCATTCCAGAATTGCCTGCTCTTATTATATATTCTTCCAGTGGGAGTCGAAACGAGAAAATATTTTATTTATCTACGCTTGCAAAATCATAAAAGTTTCAAACCCACTAATCTCCTAATTATATCCATCAGAGATTATAATCCTAGTTTATGTAATCTTCTGAATCTAATCTTTGGAGCACAGGTAAAACTATTAACCTTTACAACAGTCTGTCTAAGAGTAATAGGTTTTCTAAACTATAATGCCCAAAACTGTACATGATATCCAACAAATGTGGTTCAGCCCAGGTCTTTGTAAAGCTGTTTATCTTCCTGCTTTATATAGATTAGCCTTCTAGTTATAAAAGAATAACTTCACATGGCTCTTTTTGTTTGTTTTGTATCTGACTATATTTTAATAATGTTTTAATATAGAATTGATTTGCATTACTACTGTTCCTAATCTTTGCACTATTTATTTCAATAATACTTATGTTTGTTCTTCCTTAGACCAAAATGGATTAGTTTACACTTTCCAGTTTTGTCCACTCAATGTTATAAATTTATGCTTCCATCTGCACTCTCGCTATATAAAAAATCATGGCATTGCACACTTAGTGTAATCTTGGGTTTTCAAATGATTAATTGATATAATTAAAGCAAACTATTGCAGATACTGGTGATCTGAAATAAAAACAAAGTGCTGGAGAAATGCAGCAGCTCTGGCAGCATTTTTGGGAAGAGAAACAGAGTTAGAGCTTTCTCAGAACAAATATAATGAATAGATGAGTGACCAGTATGGATCCTGTGGGCACCACAGCCCCACTTGTTCCAAGGGTGTGCAAATGTGAACAGGTCGGTTTAATATCTACACCACTGGAAGAGGTCATTTGGCTCAGTCTATCTGTGCTGGCTTTCAGAAGGAACATTTCACTTAGATCCACTCTCCAGAGCCTTGCACATTTTTCCTTTTTCCTTTTATGCCTCTACCACACTCCGGAAGATCCCAACGACTTGCAGGGTGAAAAGATATTCTTCACATCCTCATTGCTTTTTTTTTCCCCAATTACCTTAAATCGGTGCCATCAGTTTCTCAATTTTTCTAATCTAGCATTGATTTCAATTATCTCTAGTTATCCTATCTTTTCCAACTACCAAGTGCTTCAGAACGTGAGACACCACATTTAAATGATGCAATTTTGACTTTTAAACCATTGTCAATGAGTAACTAAGTTAAACCAATGTGTTAGTGATAAAACCATACTTTTTGGACTCAAATCTTCTCTTTTTAGGTAAAAGACCTTTATCTACACACTGAGATGTTCACTATTGAAAATGGACTCCTAACCCCAACGCTGAAGGCCAAAAGATCAGAACTTGCCAAGTACTTCAAAACTGAGATTGATCAACTCTACAAAATTACATCGGCATAGTTGTTAATACTCAGTAGGGAACCTCTGGATTGTGTTTCTTGTTGTCATGTTAGAACGCAGAGTTAACCTCAAACTGTACTATCCCAAAGTCAATAAAGCACGCTTGCAAAATAACAGACTTGTACATTGTGTGGGTTTTTAGAACATCAAGCTTGCACATGCAATGTTTCAAATTGTTGATTTAAAGTTGAAGTTTAAGTTAACTGCCTAAAACAGGGGGCTGTGTGCGTTGGGGGAGGGAATAAAATTATACTGATCAGTTCACGATGGAAACAATTTATTCAAAAGTAAATGTAAGCCAAAATGTCCCCTTCCAATTTAAAAAAAAAAAAATCCAGGTTACTTTTGAGATTTGACATTTATCTGAAGCTTACTAGAATGTCTTCATCTGCAACATAGCTTATTTCAATCTAAATCAGTTTGTGTTTCACAATTAATAGTTACACTGAACTGAAGCATAGAAGAATGTCAATATGGAATAATTTTTAAATATTCCCTACCTTCAGTGAAAGTACAATCACAAACTCTTTGCCCAAACTTGTCAAAAGCTCATTCATAAAATACTGATGGTACTTGTTCTGGGTCCATAGGTGGTTAAGATGCCCAAGTCTAAGCTACAGCTGCATTTAACAGTAACTAAGTTTTAATGTGAGACAGAAAGTGTATAATTAATATATCCTGTTTAGAGTTTGGATTTTAAAATAGAGGCAGAGGGTTGTTGGTTACATTTGTGAAAGTTTTTCATTTAATTAAAAATCCAAAGATCAGAGACTCCTCCTGGATCAGTGACTTAAAATCTGGTATTTGTTTAAAAAAAAGTGAAAAAAGTTTATATTGTTGGATTTACAACAGGTAGAATAAATATTTAAGGCCATTAGCTTGTTTTTAGTTCAGCAGCATGTAGGATTGAGCAAATTTGTTTAAAATTCAGTTCAGAAGACACAGGGTTGAGTTCCGAAACAAGTTTTGATTTCTCAGCAAGGTGGTGACAGGGCAGTTCAGAGAAACACCTCAGCAGGTGGTTTAACTTGTGAAAGTTCCAAACAAGGAAATTTTAGTTAAAAATCTGCAGGTTACTAGAAATAAAGTTTAGTTTCTCAAATCTGTGAAAAGATCATGTCAGCAAACTTGGAAAGTGCTAATCGATTTGTCTCTTTAGTCTACAGCAAAGAAACTGTGATGAGTTGGTTAAAGATTTGAGATTGAATATAATTTCTCTGAACTTGAGTTTTGGTAACAGATACCATTGGGAAACAGGTTGAAACTTTGTTTTGCTATGTTTTGTATTCTACATTTAGACTGTTAAAAAAGTTCTTGTAACAAACATTTATTTTAAAAAATCTGCAGCTTTTTGTGAATATCAGTTACTAACTACCACCTTAACTAAATAAAATAAATTTGATTTAACAAGTCAGGTTTCATTCTAGGATCATAAACGTGCTTGAATGTCCAGGTTTAAGTCCTTTAGTGGTGCATTAATTTGACAAAATAATGGAGCTGATCAATTCATATTAATCCTTTGTTCTGAATTTTGGAAAGATTATATATTGCACGTGCAGTCTTCAAATTGGATTTTGATCATGACCTGGGTAGGCCTTAAGATATAAGAGCAGAACTAGGCCATTTGGCCCATCGAATCTCTTCTGCCATTTGATTATTGTTTTTATTTCTTAACTCCATTTTCCTACCTTCTCCCTGTAATCCCAGATGCCCTTACTAATCAAACACCTGTATCTCTGTCTTAAATACACTCAATGACTTAGCCTCCACAGCCTTCTGCAGCAGATTTCGGCAAATTAAAAAAAACAATCCTCATCTCAATTCTAAAGGGTTGTCACTTCACGGAGGCTGTGCCCTTGGGTCTTAGTCTCTCCTACTAGTGGAGAGATCTTCTCCACATCCGCTTTATCCAAGCCTCTCAGTATTTTCTAAGTTTCAATGAGATCCTCCTCAACCTTCTAAAATCTGAGTACAGACCCAGAGTGCTCAATCGCTCCTCATATGATAAGCCTTCATCCCCACAATTGTTTTTGTAAACCACCTCTAGACCCCTGCCAACGCTAGCACATCCTTCCTTAGACTCAGGGCCCAAAACAGCTCATAATATTCCAAATGAGGTCTGACCAGACCCTTATACAGCTTCAGCAGAACATCTCAGCTCGTATTCTAGCCCAATTGAAATGAATGCTAATATTGCATTTGCCTTTCTAATTGCCAACTGAACCTGCATGATGACCTTAAGAGAGTCCTGAAGTAGGACTCCTATGACCCTTTGAGCTTCAGATTTCCAAAGCCTTTCCCCATTTCGAAAATAGTCTACTCCAATTTCAATCTGCACGACAAGCTCACTTACCTTGTTTCATATACTGTGTGCATTTAAGGACAACACCCTCAAGTTTACCCGACTGCCTTCTCATAGTTCTCCCCTTATCTGCTCTGCCTGAAGTTAGATTCTTGAGCCTTTCCATATTCTCTGTCCTATTACTTGTTCTGGAAACTGTAAGAACTTCTGCTGAGCACTCACCTGCACCCTCACCCACCAATTATTTACTTTGAAGCCCTGTCCATTCACTAGGATTCTGGTCCCAGCCTCACTCAGTTGGCTCCCATTCCATTAGAACAGCTCCCTCCTTACCCAGTACTGGTGCCAATGTACCATAAATCTGAATCCAGAGATTACTACTTTTTGGTTCTGCATTTTAATCGAGTCCTTAGCTGCTCATATTCCCTCATCAGAATCTCTCTCCACCTATATTGGTTGGCATCTACATGGACCACAACAACTGGATTTTTCCCCTCCCACTCCAAGTTCTTCCCCAGCCCAGATAACATGTCCTGAACTTGGGCATATGGCAGGCAATACAGCCTTCAGGACTCTTGATCCTGGCCACAGAGAACAGTGTCTATTCCTTTTACAATCCCTAATTACAAATACATTTCTCTATTCTCCTCCCTCTTTAATGGCTCATTCTACCATGGTGCTATCGTCAGTTTGCTCATCATCCCTCCAGACCCTGCTCTCATCCACACAGGGAGCAAGAATCTCAAGCCTATTAGATAAGCTCAAGGCTGAGATTCCTTCAGCACTACTTCCTGTATCCCGCTACCTACCTTGCTCAGAGTCACATCCTTCTGTCCCTAACCACTGACTAACTTTGAGGTAGTTAACTTAAGGGGTGTGACTGCCTCCTGAAACACAGCATCCAGGTAACTGTCCCTGTCCCAGATATGTCACAGTGTTCGAAGCTCAGACTCCAGTTCAGCGAGTCTGAGCAAACACTTGTCACAGATGTGGTCACGATGAATCTCAACAAAACTTCATTCTGCTTATGCGGTGTGCTATGTGAACCATGACAACGGGATCTTCCCAGTCCTCCAAATCTGTTCCCAGTCATTAGGAGATGTCTTTAATGTTGGCATTGGACTGGTAACAACCAATGAAATACCCAGTTGTAGCAGCGGAAAACAGCATCAATTCCATTCTTTTTAAACTCCAATTTGAATGGTCTCCTATACCATGGTATTGGAGCCTGTCTGAACATCTACCATATAGATTTTGCCTTCATCTATGTGCCGGGTAGAATCTCATACCTGGTGGACAAGGGCAAAGGCCGAGGCTCCTTCAAACATTACACCTGGGGATTCACTTACCTCCTTGACATAATCATATGTCTGGGCCCTTGAGCACTAATCAGACTTGTACCATTTTCTAATTTATAAAGTGTGAACCCTGAATTAAAGCGTCCAGGTAACTCTCCATGCCCTGATGCCTTGCAACAGCAGTGGACTCCAGCTCAAAAACTCTTAAATGAAGTTTGTTAAAATGCAGACACCTACTCCAGATATAGTTGGCTAGGATTGCAATATTTTCCAATTGCTGTAATTGCATAACACGCTTGCTCTGTCATCTCTAAAAATTACATAACCTTGCTGTATTTCTTAATCAGTCTATACATTTAAATTTAAAAATAAATCAAGATGAAAGATCAAAAACTAGATAAGTAACCTAATTTAAATTATAGGTAGATTAAATGCTTTTCTGTAACACCAAGTATTAGCAATAAAAAACAGCATCACAATCCACTCTGCACCAAGTTCCAACTTTCACCATTCATACTTTGCTTTTTGTAGATGCTACTGTAAACTTATGTACATTTGTTTGAGCCACAAGTTACAACTGTTGATTCAGCTTCTAATTCTGTGATTTAAACCCATTCAGGCAACCACCTATAGCTGTTATAGTTACCTGGTACTGAAGAATCCCAGTATCACCCAAGAAATGATGAGCTAGTTATTAAGATAACTTCTGAATAAGTTAGGATTTGTTTGTCATTCACTTTAAATTGGGAAATGAAACACAAAGCTTATAAACTGATATCACATATCCTTCTTCAAAAGACATATCTGCCCCACATCTTTCAGGACCTCAAAATATCCCCAAGCACTGGAGGTACTTTGGAAAGGTAATCATTGTTATACTGTAGGATACAGAGCAGTCAGTCAGTTGCTGTTTGTGGAAGTTCACGGCAATGTGATTAAAAATAATTATCAGGCTGTCTAAGTGATTTTGGTTGGTTTAAATTATGGCCCGAACACTAGAAAGCACTACTACTAACTCTTTTTCAAACAATAGCAGAGGGATTTATATTCACCCTCGAGGACAGATGGGACCTTTATCTGTCAAAACCTTTTTCCTATCAAAAGTGAAACATCCTAACTGGTGAAGAACCTATCTACTTCCTATCCTGCAGCAAAAATAAAATTTAAACACAAATTCAGCCTAATTTTAAAATCATATTTGTGGGCATAACCTCTTTTGCACAAGTAGCCCATGGTCCAGAATTAGATCACTGTAGGTACTGTATATTGTGTACTCAGGGACTTAAATATAGCTCACTCACGGCAGGTCAGACGCTAGGAATGCTACAGAGAATAAATCACCTCCTGACTCCTCTAAGCCTATCCACCAACTACAAGTCACAAATCATGAATGTGATGGAATACTCCCCACTTGCCTGCATGAGTGCAGCACCAAAAACACTCAAGAAACTTCACACTATCCAGGACAAAGTAGCCAGATTGGCACCACACCCACAAACATTTTTTCTCTCCAC